ATAATTAGGATGAAATTGACGATCTCATAGAAAAATAAATATTTTGTTTCGGATTAGTAAAGTATGAATGCCATGATGATTTCTTAAACTGAGTTGAAAACGAAGTAATTTCATTTTATGTTCATATTGAATTGCCAAATTGAGTAATAGTAAACCCAATTACAGTTTTCAAAACGAACATTTCAATATCACGCAATATCATTTTTTTTTTGTTCGTTTAAGATGAAATGTATTATTCTTAGACTGAAAGTTTTAATCTTATATCGTCAAAATTGTGTGAATGAAATGAGAATATTAAGTATTTATTCTTTCGTAGTTTTTTTTTAATATTCTACAATGATTTAGTGATTATATTTCTTATGGAATTTAATTATATTTAACGCTTATGAATTTATAATTAAATTTCTTTTTCTTTTCACATAAAAAATAGAAAGTTGTTGTAAGCAGGCATCAAGGTTGAGAAAAATTAAAATGTATTTGTTTATATAGTACAGCAAAAAATGCAAATAGTTTATTTCTGCAGGAAATATCTATTCGTATTTTACAGCAATATGTAGAATTATTCTGGTTGCAAGCAATTTCTGCTTTTAAAATTCTCATTTTATGAACATCCGATATTAAGAATTATACATTCCCAGATTTTTTTAAAGAACGATCAGATGTATGTTTGTGTCAACGAATAAAAGTTTATTTAATTATCCGATTAACGTACATTCGAAAGATGTATGTTGATTTTGTCTCAAAATAATTCAATATTAATGAATTATTCAATAATAATTTTATAAATGTGTTTTTTTGTAGTGTATGACAAGGGTGAGAGCAGGGGGTCGTCTTGTTATCGTCTGTTGTCGAGGACAGGAGAGTTCATTTATCTTCGCACGTACGGTTTTCTGGAAGTGGATACGACGGGAACCGTAGAAAGTTTCATATGCGTAAATACTTTGGTGGCTGAACAGGAGGGTCTCAAACTGATTGACAATATGAAAGAGAGATATTCAGCACTCGTGAAAGCTTCAAAAATGCAAGTAAGTTACGTTTGTATCGAAATCTAAATGTTAATTATACACTTATTTTAATGTATTAGTTTGTTTTCTTTAATCCTTATGCCTGATATTCGTAGTAACATTATTTTTTGTTATTAAATTCGGATCAGATATTTATAACTAATATGTAATAGTTTACTGTTGTAGCTAAACGTTATAGTAGTTCGTTTATTTATTTTAAGTAAAATATTTATATTTTTTCTAGATGATTGACAATGTCAAAATTATATTTCTCACATATTCTAAACAATAGCTATTTGAGTTAATATTATTTAACATTATTTATTGGCTATCAACCATACTCTGTACCCCAATTGAGTTAAGATTATTCTGTTTAATTTTCAATCCTCTATACATGTTTCTTAGTAGTACAATATATTTTAGCGTTATAATGAAATAAATTATAACCAATTTTCTTTAATTTCAATTTAATTTCAAAGTAGAATAGAAAGGTCAGCTTATACTGATAATAATGTTGTAAAATTATAGACATCGTCATTGGAAGATTCTACGAGCACCGTGGAAGATCCTTTGCAATTGAGAGAGGTGATAACGCATCTGATAAAGGACTTACCCTCGTCGGAATCTAACACCTCTCAAAGCCCCTACTGTCAAGAGAATGAAGACTGTCCCTCAACCCCATCGACTGAAAAATCATCATCGACCTCTCCGCGTCCCCATATACCGTTCCATCAGGTCTATATAAAACTGAATAATGGAAAGAGACCATCCAACGCAGAGTTGTCTTCGAGTTCTTCGAAAAATAAGCGCCAGAGGAGCGAGGAGGCGGACTCCTCGACTTCGCCGTCCCCGTCGTCCTCAACCTCCTCATCCTACAAACATCTTGCTATATGCAGTGATTCGGAAGACACGATAAATAATGAGGACAGGTGATATCTTATGACCAAATAAACTTTTTAATACTGTGGGCTATACATACTATACAGAGATCTAAACTACGTAAGAAGGAAGGTAAAATTTTATCGAGACGCAAAATATTTTCTAAAAGAAAACAAAATTTGAGAAATTATATACGAACTACGTGTTGTAGTTCTTTTATTTTGGGCCATCGAGAAATATGAAAAATCTGAAATTGACTAAGAGAATATTTTCATATTCGTGCCATTTATTTCTATGAGACTGAAAAACACTTGCATATATTTAAAGACTTTGAAAAATTTAAACGTAAATTATAAGAGAATTAACAAAAAAAAAAGAAAATGATAAATATTATTGGAGAATTAAAACTATTGTATATCATTTTTATTTAATGAAACGAGAAAATACAATTGTATTTCAAATACAGGCGCTACATTAAAATTAAAAAATTGGGATCCCAAAATGAATACCAAAGACATTTTACGTATTAAAATTGGCATTTAAATGAGACAGAAGTGAAGGGAAAACATCTGAATTACATATTATTAATTACAAAATAAAAATAATACTTTTTTCTTATTGGAAATTACAAAAAATGTGTTATTGGATTGGAAATAGTTAATGTTAATTTATTATTAGATCGTGCTATATTTTAATAACCTCTTTAATCCGTTAGCGTTTAGTGAGAGCGACTGAATTGGTTATTACTAAATACTTTAAATTATTTAAAATATATTAAGTGCAGGCTACAACTTAAGAACATGTGTAATTAAAGGAACTGCTTGTTTGTAACAAGAAACTACATTTACGGATGTGAAAGACTTGCGTAACTTGTTATTGTTTTTTTAATAAAATTAGGACCTTAAACCATATATAATGGATGATATTACGTTATAATTAGTAAACATCATTCTTTACACAAAACTCTATCGAGTTAGTGACCTTATAATTAATATAAAGATATTTTCAAAATGATTAAATGGATTAACTGCTATATTCTAATCTAAATGAATAGACTGATATAATTTTATAAAAATAAGTCACCAGGAAACAATTAAAATATTTTTCGTGAAGATGCGGCGGATTACAGAGGTTGTCTATATTAAAATTACATGTTTTTTTTATTATTATCTTTTAATTAAATTAAATAATATTGTTCCTTATATGTGGTGTATTTTGCTCAAAATTAATTTGTTTTTTTTTATATTAAAATTTTATTTATTGGACGTAAATATTCCAATTTCAGTTCATTTCATAAGCATGTAATCATGATAATAATAAATGAATGATATGAGAAATATGTACCATCCATCTTGGAACTACTTACTTATGGTCTAGTTGTTAAATGAGAAAACATTATCTATAAACAAGGAAGTGAGGGTATTTTTGTATTTATACTTAGCAACGCGATGCGGGGCATAAATAAGTATATGTCCATCCTGTGGGCACTGCCCTTCTTCCCTCCCCAGTGCATGTCTAGTGTTTTATTGTCCAGAAAAAAAGTTAATGTGCAGTAATTTTCCCATTTTTTCTGTTGTTGTGGGAAAGAGAAAACACACAAAAAAAGGAACACAGAGTAACTACCTGTTTTCTTTTATAATTTTATTTATATTGTAAATTTTGTATATTATTATTGTAACATATATCTATTATTATCAGTTTTTTTTTAGTACATCTGTGATGAATTGCTTCTATTTAAAAGAAAATGAAATGGAAACAAATCCATTCTAAATTAGTATATATTTTTTATTAGTACAAATTAAATAATTAGTTTAATTATAATTTTATATGTTTGCATGTATATTTTTGTACATATATACCTATATATAATTATATATCTGTATACATGTATATAAATATCTACACAGATAATTACATATGGTATAAGTCAATACCAGTTAAAGAAAATAAACAATATTTCTTTTATTTGTATACTCTTTTTTTTGTTGCACGATTTCTAATCAACAACCAAACTTGTTTTCATATTCAATTAACTTTGTCTCCCTAGTTTGTTCTCTGTTCACTTTATTAATCAATGAAATAATAAACACATAGCATGAAGATGCATTGTAGATAAATTGTATTTTGAATGTCAGCAAAAATATATACGAATTTTATACAATTTTTTTTTATATATGTATATAACATAATTTACATTTATCAAACAAAGATAAAAACAAGTAAGGTAGGTAATTTATGCAGGTATATACCCAGCATATACTCATCGTTTTGTATATGTTCTGTTAATTTTTATACAATGAAGATAAAAATGTCTTATGGTAATAGACAATAGATTTATTACGGCAAACTGTTTTCGTTTTAAATGTTATTATTAATATTAAAAAAAGCAAGTGATTGTACATCATTAATATGGAATATATTAATTGTATTTATACGTTTATTATTTTGTTTTTATTTAATTCTATTATTATTAGTATTTCCAAATGTATCGTAGATATTTATCGAAGTAATAAATAACCACTCTACTTTTCATTAATATTTTACTCTTTCGTTTCTGTAATAATTAATAGCTTTGTCAACATTTACTTGTTGTTTAAAAATATATATAATACATATTTTCTTGTACGTTAATTTATTACATTCTCATTAATACCCTAAAGTAGTTATGCATTTCCTTAGAATATAGTAACGTAGAAATGAAGTAATTATCCGTTTTCTTGTTCCTTATTGATAGAGACACAGCTTTGAAATATATAGTTCTTTTTTGTGTATTATTATTGCACTAGTTCATTCTATATAGATATCTTCAATAGGGTAAGCAGTCTCTATGAATTTTTGATAGAACCTCTGGAAGGCACGCCTGAAACATACAATTATAAAAGACATTAGGAAAAGTACGTAATCTTAGAAATATATAACAATATTTCATCGTTTTGGTAATTACAAGTTGTTATGCATATAATTTAACATATATTCATATATCAGAACGCCGAGAGGCGTCCATCAACTGATGTTTGTCAGTTTACGAAAGTTAAGCAACTTTTGGATCGAGAGGTGTCCGGTGTTTTAGCGGTCAATTTATATTTGTCTTAATACATTTTCATAATTTGCTCGTTCGAAAGACTTTCTTGAAGATGGCCAAAACATGTGTAAAAAAAAGCGAATTTTATTGCGCTACTCATATTCCATTGAGATACTGAGATATAAATTTGTAATCATCACTTAGTGTTTTACATATTTCATAAAACTAAATGTATTAAGGTAGTCTGATGTCAATAAATAACCTTGATTTATATTAATTTTTTAATTGATTTTGTTTTACTAAGATATTGTTTCTGTTGATTATTGCGGTTACTTTTGTTAGTATAGTCAGTTGCAATTCTGATTTAGTTGTATAATAAATTAATAGTAGTTTCTTACCCAACTCCCTCTGCAACCGGTCTGGTGGAATCTGTTCCTCGAAAAACATGACAAGCAAATCTTTGAAGCGTTGGATGTTTAGTGATAAAGCCCAAATAGCGATGGTCACGAGGATGAAAAGCGCAGAAAGACACGTTTTTCAAGGAATAAAAGTAGTCTATACAAGGATCATTTTGCTGAAATCATAAAATACAAAACAATGAATGGATAAATTTCTAAGATTTATAATTTTATTCATCTCACTCTTCGCTTCCTCCGATCCACCATTCTCAAACCTTGATCGGAGACCTCTAGAATACACGGCTGAGCATCTGGTTCGGTTCCGCTGTTCCCGACAACCCTTCTCACTGCCTGACATACTACAGATGTTCCTTTATGAGCAAGTGTTTCTACAGATCCTAAATAACCTAAGAGGTAACGCTCGCGACGGCCGTGTTCGCAGGACGAATCCCAATCAGTGAAGTCGCTATCTACTGCATAAGCTGAAGGGAAGATTCCCATCCTACCAGTCCGTATATTCACACCTAAACCAATTTTCTGCGGATTAGTTTCTACGTTGCGAGTTGATGTTTCGTTGATGTAGTTACCTTCGCACCACAGATCATCAGCCTCTTTTTGTACGTATATGGGGTCGCCGATTTCGATCTCAATTTCATCCTGGTGCCTTGGGATGAACTTGTGCAGACCCCTGTGTGTAGATTCAAGCATTTCCACATCGGTGTAGGGTACGCCGCCGCCGGAACATGCGGGCGACACGCCGAGAAGGGGAGACATGGATTTCGGTCCATCCGTAGGTGAATGTGCGGTGCTGTGACCGCTATCTGCATCCGTCATGAGCCTGTCAGATTCAGGTGAATCGTTATCCCATAGGTAGCCGCACTTCAAGACCAGAAGCGAACTTGGGCCGCTGCTTCCGGTTCCGCTTCCACTACCCAATTCATCGGCCAGCGACAGCTCCCTCGATAATTGGTGTGCGTTTATTAAAGACACTACAGCAGCTACGATGAAACGGATTTATCGTATTACAACTAGTTAACGTATTTGTTAAATTGTAAGGTTTTGAGTATCTTACGTTTTTTATTTTTCGGTATTTCTGGGAGTTTCCGCCTCCTCCTCTCGCCAGGACCCGTCCATGGAACCAGCGACGACCTCGAGCCATAAATCGCGTTCCTTTCTTCCGGTCTTCCTCTGGCGGTAGGATGCAGGTCGGCCGGCGAATCACAGTCTGTGTCCGGATCACTTTTGGAAGACGTCGGAGACTCCTCATCAACCAAAACATCGTGCACCAACCTGAAACGAGCGCATCGTCTAAAATGTCGATACCACCGCACTGCCCACGAAGCAAAAAACAAAAGAGAAAAAACTAGAGCTTGATCCTCTACCTGTGACCATTAACTTAACAGCCTTATGTCCTTTGAATAATTGTGCAAAAGTGTGATACTTACGAGTAGAATGGAGAAGCCGTTTTATTGTTCTGTTCGATTTTATCAAAGCTGTGGCCAAATTCTTCGAACTCACTATCTGCCATGTTTATTTTCAACCCTCTGAAAGGCAGTATCGATTCGCAGCGAGTCGGGGGGTGGCGGTTATGTTGCGCAACTGTCGCGCGCAACTTCTCACCGCCCGGCGCATCCACGGCCCTCGATGCTCCACCGCACACGCTTTCATAAAATATCTATTCATCGGTTTTAACTCACTTAAGCGTTAAACAATCTCAAAAGACTGGCCCGGATAACATAATTAGAATCGTGAATAGGCACAAGATACAGCCGACACATTGCATTATCCAAAGTTAATTGGCAGTGAAAACTCTAGTTTCAGATTGACCCCGCTCCATACGCCTCCTTGATTTCAGCGAATTTAATCATTTTGACCTACTATGTTCACTAAAAGTAATTCGATTTCTACATATAAAAAGAAATATTATAACTAACCTATTTATACATAAGCACGAAATCAGACGACGAGAAGTTTCAACCCCTGGAAATATCTATTTTTAAATCTACCCACTTTTTTATTTTTTCTCTTTCCTTGTAATTAATGTAAGATTGTAACTGAAACTGCAGGAAGTGAAATTCTATTCTTTTTTTTGTCACTCCCTTTATTTGCAGAGAGCGGAAATCCCCGATGGAATGTTTAACAAACGTGCGCTCTTTAAAAGTCCAGAGATAAAAGCCATGGTTTATTCAGCGACTTGCATATAGCGGTTTCAATTACTTTGCTGCTTGAAGGGAGTAGTTGCCGGAACCTAGCAGATTCATCGCCAAGCGAACCCCAACCCAATTTCTATTCTTCCTTTCCTTTTTCTACCACATTTATCATGAATTGACCCGCATTATACTCACTAATTCGCTGCATAATTCCTATATTTATTTATGTATCTTATCTCTGTTCAAAGATTAATTCTCTATTTCTATACATATTTACTTATGTGGTCTACCAAAGGATAATTATATTTATATATATATATCATTTTATATAATAAATCATGATTTATTCATATACGTAAATGCATTCAATAAGGTGGAATCATCAAATATGATCATATGCACATTTTCATAAATTAAGAGGCGATGGATGAACAAATTGTTGTAATGATTCCAATTTTCGTATTGAATAATATTTATTTATTAATGGTTAATTATTTCATTAATATTTTCATATAAATAAAAAGAAACTGAATTTTAATAATTTACTATATTATATGGGCAAAGGATGTTTATATATCTGATATTCAGATCAAACCAAAACTAATTTGGAATTTGAACAACTTTCGCATGCAATTAGTTGTTGCGATGGCTAAAGTTCTATCTTATTTTGTATAGCCCTTGCTCAGGTTTATAGTATAATAATTAATTTGCTTCTGTGACCAATTGAATCATATATATATATTTAACAAAAATGATAAATCATATTTTTATATTTAAACAAATATATGTATCTAGAACATATACTATAATGTGTATTACTATAATTATTTTTTAAAATATCAAAAAAAAGAACATTTTTTTTGCAACATACCTAAACTCACATACATTATAACAAACAAAGAGTATGAAATAATAATACCTGAATCAATCACATTACCTTAGGTCGTTTTGACGAAAAATACAATATTGATATTTTTATTATAAGTAATTCTCTGCCAGAAAAAAAAAGAACATAAATTGAAAAGTAAAAATGTATTTTGCATATATGTAAAATATAAAAAACAACAATTCTATAAATAAATACTAAAAATACATAGTTTATGATTCCTCTTATACAGTTAAAAAATAGGTTTTTTTTTATTAATTGATTATTTATATAATATTGTTTAGTATTACAAATTAAAAACATTTTATTGAATTTAACAAAAACGAACAAGTTGAACGAATCTAATTTAATGAAATAGATTGTGCTCTATTTTAAAATTATTTTGAGCTTTATACTATATTTTAATAGTTATGCATAATTTAAGTTACAGAACATAAAAACATTGTGAAGTAACTTCTTCAGACTTTTTTAATAAATACAGATAACTAATTTTAGATGCAACTATGATGCTGCATGTTACAATACTTTGATGGCTTAATAAAATTACCCATCACCTCTATTTTAATTTAATTTTATAACATATAAGGATGTTATATACATGTAAAAAGGTAATAAACTATACTACACTTTGAACAGTAAAATCTAATTTAAGTTCTGTAGCAGTTACTATATATTAATTTTTATATTATTATTTTCAATTATCTGTGCTCGCAACTTCATCATAAAGTGATACCATGTATTTCTTTTTTCGTATACCTTGCGCGAAAATAAATTGCACGATAACTGTAGCGATTCAAGAGAATCGTATAAAACTCTGATTCTGCCAATCAAGAAGCGAGTTGCGCGTGAACCAATACCCGCACTTCAAGTTTGCTTTGCCTTTATAAGGGTAGGAAACCTCTAAGAGAGATCCAGTCGATTACAATCGCAGCATCCGAAGAGAATACTATACTAGCTATGAGTTCCGGAAAACCTCTTCTCGGCCTATGGCTATACCGCAGCGAGGAGGATTGGTCCTATAAGGAAGATGTTCCGGTTCCACCTGCGCCCAAGGTAAAACATTTTTAGTCTTTTTTATTTAAAGATTTTAGTTTTCATCATTTTCATTTACTTTTATTGTTTGTTAGACCGAGGATCAAAAACCGGTAGTGCAGATTGAAAAGAATACAATAATTTTCACGCTGAAGAATCAGATCGGCGGTTTGGTAAGAGCCCTGCAGGCATTTCAGGATTTGGGTATTAATATAGCGCATATTGAATCCCGTTCGAATTTATCTGAGGAAAATCAGGTGGATTTCATGGTTGATATCGAGTGCGATAAGAAGAAAATAGAGCAGTTGGGTCGATTATTGCGTAGAGAAGTGCAGACAATGGTCATTGGTACATATGGAAGTGACGAGAAGGATATTCCTCCTCCGACACCTTTATCCGCAGCTGCAAGTTTTGGTAATTCATTGCGAAGAATACTTCGACAGACACATTGTACGTGTTTTAATCTGTAGATTTTGATGAAATGCCGTGGTTTCCAAAGAAAATAAACGATTTAGATTTTGCTCAAAACGTTTTGATGTACGGAAGTGAACTGGACGCTGACCATCCAGGATTCAAGGATCCCGTTTATAGAAAGAGACGCGAGCATTTCGCCAGGATTGCAAACAATTACAAACAGTAAGTGGAAACCTTTGTTGTCAGAGTATCACAGGCGATAATTGATTACTTTTAGGGGGCAGCCAATACCGAAGGTCCAATACACTGACGAAGAAACGAAAACCTGGTAAACCTAATTGAATTAATAAATTGACATCCATCGATTCGTCTTTCCTCCTATTTTAGTATTTTCTTTTTTTTAGGGGAACTGTATTTCGTGAACTTCACAAGCTGTATTTAAAACACGCATGTAAGGAGTACTTGGAGAATTGGCCGCAGCTTGTCAAGTATTGCGCGTACCGGGAAGACAATATTCCTCAATTACAAGATTTAAATATGTTTCTTAAACGAAAGACCGGTTTCCAAATAAGACCAGTAGCTGGATACCTCAGTCCAAGAGATTTTCTTTCAGGTCTTGCCTTCAGACTGTTTCATTGCACACAATACATCAGACATTCTTCAGATCCGTTCTACACTCCTGAACCGTAACAAAGCAATCGACGGACAAGTATAATATAAATAATGCATTTTTATTTTCTAGCGATTGTTGTCATGAGCTTCTTGGCCATATGCCTTTACTTGCAAATCCTAGCTTCGCGCAATTCTCCCAAGAGTTAGGTTTAGCATCACTGGGTGCCTCTGACGAAGACGTCGATAAGTTGGCAACTGTAAGACAGAATTATTAAAATTTATAATAAATTAATTCTTACTCGACTTGCTTTAGCTTTACTTTTTCACGGTCGAATTTGGATTGTGCAAGCAAGATGGCGAACTTAGAGTTTATGGTGCTGGACTATTAAGTTCAGTTGCAGAACTGAAGCACGCTCTAGAATGCACTGACAAAATTAAACGATTCGATCCGGAACTTACCTGCAAACAAGAATGCATAATCACTGCGTACCAATTAGCCTATTGGTACACAGACTCCTTTGAAGAAGCGAAAGAAAAAATGAGGTGAAAATGTGACACAGTAAAATTGCTTTTAGCAATTAAATTAATATTTCTGCTCGTATTTATTTTTTAGGGACTTTGCAGAGAACATTCAAAGGCCCTTTGGCATAAGATATAATCCTTATACGCAGAGCGTTGAAGTGTTAAGCAACGCTCAAAAGATTACCGCCCTTGTGTCAGAGCTACGAGGCGACCTTTGCATTGTTAACAGCGCTTTGAAAAAGATATCAGCAAGAGATTCCACGTTGGACGTGGAAGGAATCGCTAAATTGTTACAAACTGGTCTACACACTGGTAAAAAAGAATAAGTCTACAATATAATTAATTATATTTATTGCTATACACAATATAGAAAGCCATCTACTAGTACTAATTAAATGTAAAAAGATCTTGATGTGTAAAGTCTAGCGCTGCTCCTGCTCCTATTTAATATTACAGTCTGACAGTTTCTCATTCCAGTTTTTCCAAGTCTTTATCAAATGTAATAAAGCCAGTCCAGAGCACCGTTTGCTTTCCTGTAGTTTTGCAAATAGTATGTAGTCATTAACAATGTAGCCTAGTTCGACACCATTTTGAATAAGCTTTTGAGCGGCAACGATCTGTCTCTCCGGAGGTCTTGTAGTATCAAAAATACCAATAAACGCTATTCCGATGCTTTTTGCATTGTAGCGATAAGTGTGGGTGCCCTCCACCCCCCAGCCTCTTCCCTCGTAAACAAAACCATCACCACCAACTAAAAAGTTGTACCCGATGTCACGCCAGTGTTTACTTTGAATGTGAAATGTCTGTATAGATTGTGTAACTAATTTACATTCATCATGACTCGAGCAGTTGCTGGTTGCCGTATGATGGATAATTACATAATGTACAGGATAATTAATTTTATTTGCTCGGTTCAATGGCTGCTTTGATTGCCATTTGCTACGTGGGATTATGTTTAAATTCCAATTGGAAACATGGTCTGTAAGAGTAAAGAAAATAAAATCATATTAGATACTATTTCCATATAAATTGATGTAATGAATGTGTAATTAATAATATTAAAGATATAACAAATATGGAGCTTTCTAGTTTAAACAAAAAATATAATAGTGATATATGTAAATATAATAATAAATGTTAGATAGAATAGATCAGGGGTTTCCAAACTGTGCGTCGCGGCGAAAATTGAAGATAAACTACTAACATATAGTTTGCCCTGAGTTAGACCAATGTTTTGACTTGGGGCACCGCGAAAAAATCTGTTATATTAAGAGCGCCGCTAAACGAAAAAGTTAGGCAACCGCTGGAATATATGCATATAATATTATGTGCACTACTTCGCATTATATTGATTACATATTAACTAATTAATATAGTTAATGTTATGATTGTAAATTAATGATTCAGTAATAATAAATTTAACATTGTCAGGAATATCAAAGAAAACCTTACCTTCTGAGCCCATTGTAACTTTATTTATATCAATGTTTACTCTGTAATTTTCTGTAATAAGTACAACATATATCAATATGCAGACGATAACAGATATCACGGCTGCTGCATATGCATATAACAGTTTATTTCCTTCTTGATGATTATCTGAAATATAATTATTCTTATAAGACACATATATAATCATACATAATATATAAATACAGTTTGACCTCGTTTAGCGCTAAACGAAACAGCGTAATAGGAGGTCATTTTAATACATAGAAAATAGGGAATCGGCGACCAAAAATAAACAAATTTTACTTTAATTTTAATTTGGATCAACGATTTCGGTTATCATTTGTAAACAAGTTCTTTTAGTTCATAGTCTTCATAATTACTAATTTCGCGTTCTTCAGTTTCTTGTTGTGCCAGTTCTTGAAGGTAGTCATTGATAAGGCCCTCACCAGAAACCTGCAGTAACTTCTTAATATCCTGCTCATCTACATGTCTAATAAACATAGATTCGTTATATACGAATTAATAAAATTCCTTGATATATAATAAATCATTCACTACATCTGATTAAATTAATAATATGTTTGACAACTTTGGTTTTAGACTTATATTTTTGGGATACTTCATGTTGCAAATTATTGAATCCAATCATAACGAGAAGTACTAATTGTAATAAAATAACATTCCGTAGTGTTCATATTAGAAACCATAGAATACGACAAAATGCAGAAAATATAAATTTAACAAAAAATAACCTTTCCTCATTTTTACCGATGACTATATTATCAAATTACAAATAGATTTTTAGCTAATCCAATGCATACATGATTCATAAAACGAACAACTTACTTTCAGGTTCTCTGCGGATCTTCGTCATATTTTCCAGCATTTTCACTATATCTACGTTGAAACCTTTGGAAGTCGTACTCATTACGTGATTGAGATTTGATTGGTTCGTACCGGCTCTTACATTTTGATCTTTTAGCAATTGGTCGTCTTCTCGCTGATGCCGCTCACATTCGGTATTCTTCGAGTATTCCTGATGGGTCTCCATATCAACTTCAGTCTGCATCACCTCCTCTCTTTGATCATTTTTCTCTTCTTCCAAAGTCCCAATATTCAGATCTCCTATATCGACATAGAATTCATATGGATTAATAAAAGATAATGAATACGATAATCATTTTGTCCTGCGTGCGGAGGAGTTTTAAAAAGTCTCACGTTTTAGTAAAAATATGTTTTTGCCTCTTTTATTTATGCTTCTAGGGACGTCCGGGTGGGATTTTGATTGGTAATTTTTAAAATTATTATATATATTTGTATACAGTCAATGATAATTATCAATTTAATAAATAATTATTTTTTCTCATTTTTGAACTGTCTAATATAAAACATTAGATTATCTTAGATTTTAAACATTATTATCTTAACTAACTGTTCCAATTATTATTATAAAAAAAGTAATATGTAACTTACTTGTGGTTATACCTATTTTCTGATTAAGATTTGCATCGTCTCTTTCGTTCAGTTTCTTAATTTCCAGAGTATTTATTCTCAAATGCCAAGCTCAAAATATAAATAATACTGCCTGAACTATGTAAGTAGTAACTGTACTTCAAATTGTTGATTACTCTCAGAATATACTCCTATACAGAAAAATACACATTATCAATAATAAAACATCTTGCAAATTTAATCCACACTCTCTCACCTCAGAAACGTTTGAGATAAGCGACTGAAATTGCGTCACCAGATGATATCGTTACTGGAATACAGAAATCGAAATGTTAGACGATTTTAAATGTTGAATCAATTACCGTTCTTTACTTATGGAGATATTGCTCACTCTTAGAATCGGTAATAACTGAAGTTTTATAATATTAGAATTAATAAATAAATTGATATCTATGTTGGTTTTTCTTTGTGTCTCAGCAAGTTATATTTATATTAAATATTCTTCTATTGTATTAAAAAAAAGAAGATATTTCACTTATATTATCTATGTCTGGAGTTGGCAACGGGATGCCCGCGGGCACCAGGTTGCCCGCGAAGATATTTTAAAGTGCCCGCAGTTTAAATATCTGTATTCTAAATTTTAGATATTTAATATATAATACACAGCACTCTACGAGAAAAAATATCCCAGCAGGTTCTAGTATGGTGCAATAATACCAGAGTTAGCGCTAGCTTTCGTATTATGCTGATATTCTCTATGTCTTTGGTTTATTTGCGAAACAAAAATTTTCCGAGAAGAATAAACTTATAGCGAGAAGAGTAAATTTATTTACCTATTTCTTGTCAATATTTTATGTTTGTAATGAACACTGCACTGGACCAGAAAATATATATCAGCACGTTTTAGAACTATGATGCAATAGTTCCAAACTTGGTGGTAGCTTTCGTCTTCTGTACTACACTAAGCCACTGTCAAACTGACATGTTTTTGCAAGCTCAAACAAATTACCAACAAATTAAAATTGAAATATATGTAGGCATCCCATTGTACAAATACCATTCATTTCAATACGAAAAAATCGAGGAATGTTATGAAAATGTTTCTTAAAATATGCAAATAATATTTTTTTCAGTATTTATTTCTTCAAATATTTTATTTTTTTTTTCCGAGAAAATACTTACTTTAATTTAAAATATTGCATTGTTATTATTCTTTCTTTAAAAATTAAATAAATCGAGTAAGCTTCCTTATGGTTTATTAAACAAAGAAGCTAAATAATGCACGTGCATAATCATGCAAAAAATGAATGGCAAGTGTTTACACTATTATTCCAATAGAGAAAGGAGCCAAATAGATTTATATCAATAATAAATTGATATAAATCTCTTTATTAAAAAAAATAACATTCCTTATAATCAATAAGAAAGATGAAATTGTTTATATTAAATCGACAGATCATCATAATTTGATTTCATGATTCATTTGAAGAAAGATTTTATTTTTTGATGAGGGCCCATGTTATGCCATCTTTGCCGGGAACTGAATTATTCTAAATTTTGGCAGTTCTTTTTGTGGTTTGGGAGATGTATTCAAGGGACGTGGTAAGTAATTGTTCATATGTTTTTTTCACAGTGTTTTGTAGTCTGTCGGTCTGGTAGCAGCGACTCCTTGGGCCTATATGCCTTATATTTTTTTCTCTGCGAGGCATCGACAACTTAGGTCATTATCCTTATAGTTTTCAAGATATTGCACGCGTTTGGTTTCCTGGCTGAAATTTTTCTCGTCACCAGATGGGCAAGCTCCCGTATCTAATGCTCCAGTTCTCTAAGGACTTCAGTGCTCTTGAGTGGAGTTTATATGACTGAAGCCTTCAACCATATATGAACTTGTCTATGGCAGCAAAAAGGGACATGTCACGTCTATTTCAGGTATTTTTATATTTATATTTACATACAATATTTATATGCTCAGACTTAATAATAATAATAATAATTTATTGACCAGATAATAATAATAGAAACAAACATATAAATCCTAAATAAATATAAATTAGAAAAATTAAAAAAATGGTATGGTATGTAAACCTTGAAAATAAGATATATTCTAATATAAATTAAAAATTAACAAATAGGCCAAAGGGCCTCGGTCGGTAGCCATTCCGCCCAGGAAGATAAATTAAATGATTTAAAATATAGATACCGTGGAACCTAGCTTAACGAGCATAATCCGTTTCAAAATTTTCGGATTTTTACTCGTATAGTGATGCAATTTTCCCCCATATAAACTAATACAATATACGATAATGCGTTCCATTTTGGATGCATTTTTCTTATATTTTATTTTGCCCGTTAAGCGAAATGCTCGTTTTGCGATGTGCTCATTAAGCTAGTTTCCACTGTACATATAAAATACAATCTGAGTTCATTTTTTGCCAAGAAATATACTGGTATTACATTAATTGAAACAATGACCCAGTGGTCGGAATGAATATTTTAGGAATAAAAACAAAAATCACAGAATAGTCTCACTAGCCCCGAAAAATCTAATCGGGACATCAATGATTAGTACTCATAATCCGAACAATCTCAATTGGGACACATGGTAACTAATGTTGGGACAATTATATTCGAATGCCCTTAAACTTTGCGCTCTTTACGTCATTGGAGTGGTCTTTGATACTCATTAGGGCAGAGGTCTTCTTGTATGGCGTGGTTTGTGCAGTAACTGCAGTGGGTGGGTTGATCGAGTAAATCATGGTTTGTTTGAAAAAACTGCTCAAGATTGTTGAGTTGAAAACTTTATTATCATCTTCTAATGATAGCATTTTGGGACGAGAATGTATCAATCTCTTCATTGTTGCAGCATCTGCAAAATTATAATATAATAGAGGTCATGTGTAAAAAGATAACATATATACAATTGTTAATCAGTTAATTAATATTGATAAATTCATTTAAATCTATAATCACATATATTTAATTTAGTTATTTATAAGTAATATATACAATTAAATATCCGTTTATAAAAAAATAAAAATGAAAATTGTTACGATGATTTTAATAATAATATGAAACTCGTTACAGTGAGTGATATAGTAAAACTACACAGAGCTTTAAAAATTGCTAGTATTTTTAATAGCATTTCGATAGGTGTGTATCAAAGAAATCTTACCTTTGGATCCTATCATTTGAACTCTATTTTCGTTGTGTTTGTCTTTTGTAATTATAACAGCCAAAATTACTAAGCCAACGCAAACAATTTTTAAAAATATTACAATTGACCAAAATAAAATTGTATTTGATTGTTGATTATCTGAAATATAAATATTTTTATAAATATATAATGCTAGTAGACATGTATTTAGTTAAGTATATAGAAATGTTGTTTTTTTTTCTGTTTATTATATTTTATTTGGCGGAAAGACCTCGTTCGAATGCCCTTTATTGACAATATTTGTCCAATAAATTTATTGAGACAATATCGGTGCGGAGTCTCGAACAGATTCATAATTATTATTCACATATAAACAAATAAAAAACATATTTATATAATCATATCAAATAATTAAATAATTACAAAGTGCCCATAGATCACTGCCCCTCTCATTATTATCATTCATACTATGGACGTTTTAATAAATGTTGTTATTAGTATTGTATTCTCGAAAATATCAATTAAACAATTAACGTTAATAATTACAAAACAAATTATGCTTACATAATCAATTGCATAATAATTAATAAAACAAAGAATTAACTAAATCTTGACCTTTCTCATCAAAGATTAATATTTGCATTGTACATACCGTTTGGTGTATTCAGATCATTAACGCGAAAATTGTACGGCTCCATGTCTTGCTGCAGCTCTTTCATGACTTTCATCTTCTTCCAGAGTTTCCTTGATCAAAAGCAAAAGTATTTAGTTTCTGTTTGAATTGTTAAAACGAAACAATAATTTACGCGTGGCGAGCAGTTGTAGTCGACTCCAAGTATTTTATATTTAGATGTTGCGCAATTCAACTTTACGAATGAACTGACATGAACTGAAAACTTTACTTAGTGACGTATAGTGAAGAGCTTCTTTGCAAACTTGACTTACCTGTATTTACCTTATTTTGAAGTACAAGGATGGAATTTATCAAGGATTATTTGGGAAAATGAAACTAATAGCTAACCAAAGATCTTGCTGCAATAAAGAACTGTAATGAAGACTTGAAAATGTAACACTAAATTTAATAAATAAATTACTACCCGACGGTCGGCAAATATTTTTCCTATTTTCACTTCGAATCTAATATATGAGATTATATATGTTATTTATTCGGAACCCTCTTCGTTTGCAATGAGCACTATACTGAACGCCGGTCATGATAAAAGCTCAGTACGTGATGTATAGACAACTTAATGCACACATACTTTTTTTTTATCTATGAGTCATGAAAGTCATTATGTCGTGCTTTGAATTTTGAGGCCCCGAGCATAAAAACAGAATGGGACCCACAGTAAATAAAAATGAAATGTACTATAAAAAACTTCAAATTTTTATTTATAAAAAGTGGCAAGAGGGGTTAATTTAAATTTGATTGTTTGATGGTTGCTATTGCTAAATGCTAATGATCTAAGTTGTGGACGCGTTATTGTGCATGATGTACTTGGTGACCCAAGTGATATATAAAAAAATATGGGCGCAAGTCACGTGTGCTGGAAATTTCCACTCTTCTCAGTTATGGAATTGGTGAACCTCAATATGAGGTGTACCGATTGGCGGCTGGTGACAATTGAAACGGGGTGATGCCAGGGACCAAAAACAACTAATTTTTATATATTTATATAGTGATAGAACCCACTATTTATGATTTATAGTTATTATTTCCATTACAATAATATTTAGTTACAATCCACTGATGTTGAAAATATTGTTTAATTAAGATGTTTAATAGAACACATGAAAGTCAAAGAAAATCATATTTTTTGCCAACACAATTGAATATAATAGCTGTATATAAAGCACGATCGGTACTGTTCGTGCATCATACATGCTCCGTAATATGAGGTGATATACACGGATCTGTATCGCAAGCCCGACAACCGATAGACCGTCTATTAAAATCCCGACATATTGACACAAAATACGACTGTATTTTTTTGTATTAAAATATAAATATTATATTATTATGAATAGAAATAATTTTAAAATAATATTATTTATTGGTCAATTTGGCATAGAACAAAAATAATGTTATAGCTTCTCATATTGTAGTTTCTTCCTGCGATGCAAGTAAGATGATTAATATATAAATATATATGAATGTGCCACTAAAAAACATCTCCAACATATGACTGATGTTTATTATAGTGTTATGTTTTACAATTATGTCTTTTTCTAAACTTTCTACAATAATACAATACGTTAATTTTTTTTTATGTCAAAATATTGATTGAAAATATTTAGTAAAATTCTTCTTTTTGGACGTACTATATACAGAACATAACAAAATAACGAAGAAAATATGTAGAATAATTAAAGAATAAATATTGAAAGGAAATTGATTTTGTTTTGTTCCTCAAATGGCCATTTTTATCAAATGTGAAATAATTATGATGAACCTACCTACTATAAGTTGGGGCACTAATGTTGCTACAATAACGTTATAATGAGTGGAGAGCGCTATTTAAACATACTGGAAGATATTTTCCGCCAGACTTGCGCCGATGACGAATATCTTTCCGAAATGTAATGTGTTTCAACAAGATGGAGCCAGTTGAATAACAAGACTAGTAATAGCAGTCCAGGGTGAAAAAAATAATGACACGAAACACAGAACATCGTTGGCCCCCAAGGTCGCCTGACTTCACTGTTTCATTTTTTTATGGGGATATTTTAAGCAGGAGCTGTATTAAATTAATCCACGCAACAAAAACGAATTAGAAGAATCCATAAGGGCCCTTATTTAAGCAATACCTTCCGAGCAACTTTAACAGCGTTTTGATCAGATGCAGTGATTGCTGTAACAAAGGTGGAGGACATGAAAATATATTTTAACAATTGGGTTGTGTAATAAGTTCCCGCGTTTTTGTATTTATTTTTTTCCTGTAATTTTGTATTTTGTTAAGTAAATGCATTCGCAAGTATTTTTCTTGCTTCAATTTTTCGAATTAATTAATTTCAATCAATTTTGAGACATTTTAATCTATTTTCAGTCTTCATCGTTGGCGAAAGTAAGGCCCATGGTTTGATTCGACATGGAACTAAAAAGTTGATAATCCGTTGACGTAAGGTCCAGAGAGTATGGAGGATGCGGTAGAACAGTCATTTTCAAACTTTTTGGTGCGCGACCGCCTTTTGGACATAAAAAGTTTCTGCGACCCTCCGAAGAATGGGTACGTGTAGAAGAACAACCAAGATTGATCTGTCATTCATTTATTTCGACCTCCCCCCAAATATTTTACGCGACCCCCTTGAGGATTGCGACCCATACTTTGAGAATCACTGCAGTAGGACACCCATTCGAGATGATTCAAAGTCTCCATGAAGATGAACAATATTATTATAGATACATAAAAGGATGAAATCAATTACCTCGAAAACACCGACCGAGCTAACTTATAAGGAAAGTTAGTCAAAAGTGTATAGAAAAATATAATGTTTATGTTAATTCCGTAAAACCACTGGGGTAAGAAAGCTCCTGGGATTATCAAAAGAGCAGCAGCAGAGAAGCAGCAACAATAATCAAGACATTATTAATAAATTGAAAAAAAACTGTTATTGCAATAATAGATATTGTTGAACTCACTAACAGTTATTCATTAAAAAAATATAAGATGTACCAGATCTATACAACAAATGCTAATCTGATTTTTTATATCCTATAATCTTTTACGACTTTGTTGACTATCAATATGCACTCGGTATACCTTGTATATATGTATTGATACTAATGATTCATTTTCAAAAGTTGCTGAGGGCAATATTAAAAAGTTTTCTTATTCCTTTATAATTTTATATAGCTTGTTTATTATACTGAATATACCCGAAAAAATGAATAATATTTCCACATTCAAAAACATAATTAATGACATGACAGTTGAATCCGTGGTGTTTGGTATTTCTGCGATGTTTTTACGTATGACTTCATTTTAATCTATTAAGTATAAACATTAGCTTATTGTTATTACAGTTATTACTATATTATGTTAACTTAATTTAACTATAAATAATTTTTGACTACCGGTAAATAAATATAAGTTTGTAATTCTAACAAATATATTTAATAAGAAGAATTATATAACCCTTTCTCAGTCTGAAATATCACAATTTTTATTACGGATTCTGAGCCCAGTTGTCCCAAGTCTTCATCAAATTTAAAAGAGTCTCTCCAGGGCTCTGTGTGGTTTGCAGTTGTCTTGCAGCAACTAGTTTGTAGTCCTTGGCAACGTAACCTAGTTTAATTCCTTTGTGGATGAGCTGTTGAGCGGCAATTATTTGCCTCTTCGGAGGTTCTATGCTATTGAAGGTACCAATAAACGCAATGCCGATGCTTCGAGCATTGTAGCCAAAACTGTGTGCACCCTCCGACTCCCAGCCTCTTCCCTCGTATGCAAAGCCATCGCCTCCTACCAGAAAGTTATATCCGATGTCCCACCAGTGTTTGCTTTCAATGTGAAATGTTTGTATGTATCGTGTATAGAATGTGCATTCGGCTTGATTGGAGCAGTTATCGGTTGCTGTGTGGTGGATAATCACTAAAGGCACAGGTAAATTTAGTTTGTTCACTGGTTCTGTCGGTGGTTGCGCCAACCATTCTTTACGTGATATTATCTTTAACTTTCCACTGAGGACAGGATCTGTAATTTAAAAAAAATATTAAAATGTTGCATTTAGCTGATTTGTACATTGCATAATGCTTCCACAATGTATTTTATGCATTCAAGTTGTAGTGTCATCGAAATAACACGGAGGTGTTTTTTTTTCGGTATTCTTCTGCGCATAGCTTCGTTTTTATTCTTTATTTTTTCTGTATACTTCCAACCACTGCGCATATTATTCAGTCGTATTATGACAGCTAAATGCGCAGAAGAAGAACAATATAGAATGGTTTAGTGTCATCGTTGTGTGGTTATAAACAGCACCGAACGGGTGGAGGAAATAGTGTCGTGATCATATAAAAAATTCAAATGATATCAGTATCAATATTTACGAATAAGACAAACAAAATAAGACAATTTAGTGTTGGCTGTCACATTTTCAAAAGAAAAAAAAGCGCATTAAATAAATTATTACAATAATTACTCAACGACTAATCGTTGGTTTATTGAGATATGATCATAAGATACATAATAATAAGTTTAAATAACAGTTTATAATATATGCAACTAAAGTTACGTCTGTGTTTTATAAATTGGTGTAAACAGTAGCAGACCAAAGGTTAATAGTATGACCCAATGGACATGTCAGAGCAGTGAATTAAAGTTATAGGGCTCCACACCAGTTATGTAAATGAAGGGAGGCGGTAGAATATAACAAAATCATATGTTTTCCAATTGAAATACTTAGAATGGCCTACAGTCACCAAGAAAATGATGACGATAAGTTGAGTTGTGAATTTTCATTTTAATATTTTTCGTGAAGAGGTAAATGACGTCGGGGAAGGGTCAATAATTATAATTTTATAAATAATTAGAAAATAATGAACTATGGGACACAAAATACACATCAAATATAGTTAAACTTAATACATATGAAATTAATCTATACTAAAGGTTTAAATTTATAATAGTAGAAGTAAAATTATCGTTTTGAATATTAATGAAATATTTACCTCTAGGTCCCTCAATTGGAACTCTGATGTCCTGTTCGGCACTGTCTTCTGGGATAAACGAAGGCTTTTTTGTAGAAAATATAACAACCAATATGATAGCCGCCGAAGTAGCCATCACAGCTATTGCAATTCCTAATAATAATTTATTATTTGTTTTTTTATTGTCACCTGGAAAATAAAAATCAATAAATTATTACATGTACGTATAGTGCATTTAATTTTCAATTTTTTGGTGCATAAAAGAGCCAAGTAAAGGAGTTTATAAAACTAGGATCGCATAAATCCCAAAATACCATAGGGCGACCCTCCCCGTGAAAATATTACAGCGGATACGTATCTCTATATAAATATATGATAAACATGTATGTAAATATAGACTGAAATTAATATAAAAACAGTTTGTTTTTCAGTGAAATGGCAGTATTGATAAAAAACAGAAAAAGTGTGTCTAGTACGTTGATGTAGATTTTGGACAGGGTAAGACATTTTGGGTGACACGTATCGTTTTTGGTCTTCAAATATCACAGAATTATGGATATTTCTAGATGTGACACGAGTTTAGCCAAGTTTTTCCGAATTTTGATACACCGAGCTGATTTCTAATATTTTTCATATGTGATGAACATAAATTATATTTTTTGGTGTGTCATAGGATCACCATCATTAGTCTAGGTAGAAATTTACATATCTAACAAGTAAGTAAAGTTTATATATATCCAAGTAAAGATAACGTTTTTATAGGCAATATATTTTATATTTAAATTTTCTACAAAGTAGAAAGAAGGAATCGCCACCATCAATTAACTTGCAGATCAAGGTCAGATAATTAGTTCAAAGTAATTGTTTGTCGAAGTGTGAAAATATATTAATTCAAACTGATTTAATGGAAAGTGATGATTGTTTTTGTTTAGAACAATTATTCAAGTCAATTGATGAATATGTAATTCACTGTATTATCAAGCGAAAATATTGAAATCATGTATATTATATAATTAAATAGTTTTTTAAACTTTACAAACTAAAGCATATTATATTGAGTGAAGTAAATGGTCCATATTACCAACCAATTCATTCGATATTCATAATATATCAACCAAAAATTTATATTCGACGTAATAATCCCATATTTAAGATCTTTTGCTGAAATCTGATAATAATCATTTCTCTGAAAATGCAGATCAACGTAAAGGTAACCACTTTATTAATAATTCCTTTTTGGAGGAAATGAAGTGTTGAGATGTGTTCTGATGTCACATGAAATTAAATCAAATGTCTCCATTTCTAAGCTATAAAATTGTTGGTCTTTTTTTGGACTCTCTATTTATATTTAATAAGAATTTTATCTATACAGCTTAACGAGCATAATCCGTTCCAAAATTCCCGGATTTTTACTCGTATTTTTCCTATATAAACTAATGTAAAATAGTATAATGCGTTCCATGTCGGAAAAAAGTCTAACTTGGTCTCGATTTTTAATGATTTTGTTTTTGATATCTATGGTTATTTTTAATCTTTGGATTTTTATTTGGAGATATGCAAGTGTTATTAAATTTTGCACAAAAAAAAATCACAAATAACATGTTCGAACACAAATTTGAAAATATGTGTGATCAGAAACAACACTAAGATGCAACTAGAATGACTACAAACCCAGAAACTGTTATTCTCTTTATAAATTTAATATTTGTTTATATAAAAAAGTGTACAGAGTTCCTTTATATTTTATAATATTGATTGGACACAATACAATTTTGTTGTGCTTTTACAACAAACATAAATTATATTTACAAAGCATAATCCGCTATAAACAAAGATGACAGAAAAATGGAAAATTGTTAAAAATACACATACTATGTGTTTTGAAAATGATGCAGCAAGCGCACAATGCGGGACTTATCTCCTTGTCATCACTTGTTATGCAATTTATTTTGTTCGTTAAGCGAGGTTCTACTGTATTGGTTTTTATTTGTAGCTGTCCCCAGTCCGGGAATTTCTCCAATTTTCACCGGGCCGCAGTTATTAGAAAGATGCAGAACACTGCATTAAATGTTGTCTTTTCTGTATTCAAGTAATGATACATGACATTGAAGAGTTATAATAGCAAAGTTATAATGTAAATTTGTGGTAAAAACAAAACGGCAATAATAAAATAACAAAATAAATTAATCATGGCGGAAATAGTGCGGTATTATTATTGCATAAATTTAATTAGTTATCAATAATTTTAATTCTATTATATAAAAAATACATTGTTATTGAATTATTTTATTAGTTACATTTATATTTGTTTGGAAGGTTTCCGATGGAAAATCGTTTCGCTCCATGCCTATTTATTTTGTTTTTTTTTGTTTTTATTTTCTTTTTGTCTTATGGTCAAAAAATATTCAAATTATTGCCAAAAGGTTATGAATAAGAAATAAAGGATGCAAAAAAAAAATATATAAATCATTAGTTTATTGTTCATTTATTTTTTATATATTTGCAAATATTTTTATTAGTTCATTTCAAATAAAGAAGCCTAATATTTTTTTAACGTGCAATTTCTATAGTCTCGTTTCTAATACGGAGAGACTCTTCGTACTCGATTTCATTACTAATCGGATTTTTATAAAATTGTTTTCTCTACTTCATATTTTATATTTCTAGCCATTCTAGTAAATAAATATATGGGATAAAAAAATATCATATACTAGAGAAACCAATACCTTGATCAATTACAAAAGCGGCAACAATAATGGAAACAATTACGTAGAAATGTTATTGCATTGAAAAGCGGCAATTATATTTGTTTTCCTTTTACCAAGATTCCTATACGTTGAGACGTGCTCACAGCAAACAAACATTTTACACCATTTTCACAGCAATTGTTAATATGAGGAAACTATAAATTCGTTGGAACGGCATGTTTTATGTATACGTTCGTTCAGTGGAATTTAAATAATATGCATATATTTAATAAACTGTGATCAAATTATTTATCAACTAGAACATCTCAAAACCCTATAAATTATTTAGGAAGTTTTACGTTTATTTCCTTTGTATTTTCTTATTTTGTTATTTATAATAACACTAATTGAAATATATAATGTAATAATTAAAATTACATAAATAATTACCGATAAACATTTTTTTTTAATTTTAGAAATATGACGAAAGGTAAACGTATTTAAAATGATGATTATTTAACATCGTTTTATATTAAAGCGAGAAGTACACTGCATATATTATCATTATTATTTCAGATAAAAGTTATCGCGGTGTGAACTAGGGTTCAAGTAAGATAGCACTTAAACAAACTCTTATTATTTTATGATTGTATGAAATCATTATAATATTAATTAAAGTATATTTAATACTATCCATGTACACTTATATTTCATTGTCTATTCATTTTGTTGCATTAAACATAGTTAGTTAAATTAGATTATGTTTTTTTAGTCAAAGGCCAAAGGTATTTATCGCTACTTGATATAATTTATTGCCGTGCATGCTGTTGTCCTTGTTTACTATATTTTGCGATGCGAACAACATTGTGGATATGTTGCACGAATTTACAGCGTTGTCAATTCTGTTAATGTACGTTTCTTATGTGCACAGTTTGACAAATAAAAACATTATTTTTAAGTCTTAATTCTATCACGTTTTTTGGCCTCATCGAAACTACATGTGTATTGTATTATTTTTTATTTTTATAGCTCATAGTTGCATTATCTAAATTGTAACGCTTTAAATTATAGAAATAGTTTACATTAAAAATCAACAAGTGAAATGTGAAGAATTTTCGTAAGGTATTTCGATTATGATATGTAGTTTTCTTCATAAAATGTCGAACAATATTTTCCTACACCATTCATATTTTGTTAAATTAATTTTAATAATATTTTTCAGTTGTTTTTATCGTGAAGCTCACAAATCTTCAACAATTTGGGCTGGACATTTTGTAAACTTAGGTATAAATAAATCAGTATTTTTTCGTATTTTATTACAAAGTCTAAAAAAATATTCCAAGTACTTATGGATTTTATTGAAATGATGAAATTAGAATTTATATTTTGTAAAAACCATTTTTAAACTGTGAGCTATATTAATAATTTAATTTTTATTCATAGATCTCAATTTTTACAAGTAATACAATAAATAAATTCATAAAGATAACTAGAATATTTTAAAATTAATTTGTTTTGGAATTGTATTATCTTAATAATTACATTTTTTTGCATTAAATATTTTTCTTGCAGTATATATTAAATAAACTTACTTTATTTTTTTCTAATTAAATTAAATCCACCAACCAGCACGGATTGAAACCGCACTAAATGAAGAACACAAAAATGATAAAAAGTGTAAAATCAAGTATGGAAAAAAAAACTGATCAATTATATATATATAAATATTTCTTGTGGAAAAATGTGTAATCTGGATTTACATTGTATTTTCCTATGTTTTGTTAGAAAATGTACATTGTTTCATTGTTTTTTTTAATTACCGTCAAACGTTTTTGACAAAAAAAATTCAGTTACTTCACAATCTGAAAATAAAGTAATATTATCTAATTATTTTGAACTATTATTTATAAATATGAGAAAGAAATCATTACATATTTTTTTAATTTTTATAACAATAATAATAAAACAAAAAAAAAGATTAACTGATGGAAAGGGCTATTCTGCCTTTCTGTCCCGATTTTTATATGAATTTAAAATTTAATATTAGTCAAAACTCAAATTAATTTTCATACGCCCACTCACTATATAGATGCAATGCGTCGCAAAATGTGACATAATTGGATTCGCCAACATCCGTGACTATTTGAAATCGAACACTTCGAGGAATTATTGGTGTATACAAAAATGGAAAATTTTTCTTGGAACATTTTTTTATATTTTTTTTTCCAAAATAAAAAAATACTTACATACTTCACTAGTTTTAGATTAAGTTGGAATTAAATTTTGCTTTAATTGAACAAAAAAACAAACTCGTTTAATTTTAGATTAACTTGTATTTAAAATATGCGGGTTTAAATTATGCAACTATCCGCTAGAAATCGAACTGGTGATGTCATATTCTTTTTGCATATTTACAAACTGCACGCACCGGCTTAGAGCAGTTCAATCGAGGTTAAATCCCGAGTTAATATAATAACCAATCTATTCCGCCTTTATATTGGAAACGATATTCAGAACACAATGGGATTAGATATGGAAGATGCATATAAACAAGAGATTTAGTCACATGACCATTAACCATCTGCCGTATTAGATTCATCATAGATATATTTTTCTTTTAAAGTTTGTGTATAATTAGCCTTGGCATACAGATGTTATTTAAAATTTAATTAATTATAAGATATTGGACTTTTTAATTCCTACACAACAAACACTATCAACACAAAACAAATCGATAATAATTATAATAGTAGTTAGGTGAAATAAAATTAGCTTAACATATATTATGTGCATAGTGTGGAAATCAGTAAGGAAAAATGAAAATTTTTTCATTTATATGGCCAAATCTATTTTTATTATATATATTTAGTTCCTCGATTAATACGGTTTCAAATCGTCCGATATATTGGCGCAAGTGATTACTCGTACAATAACATTAAACATTTAAAAAAATGCAATGAAATTGTATAATTTGTATACCATATACATTCTATCTATATGAAACAGTTTATCTAGATAAACCATCATTTATATTTTTAATGTAATTTCCAACATAAAAAAATACATTGTTCTAAACATATAATTTGATTCATATAAGTAAAATTCTTAGAAATTGCGTGCCAGAATTAAACAGACGATGGTTCATATAAATGTGTGATTATGAAATATAATTAGTAATTTTTTTGTTAATAAAAAAAACTTTTTTTCTTCAGCCTGTAAGTAGCCACTCTTGGGCATAGGCCTCTTCTATTTGTTTCCTCATCGTTCTCTCATGTGCAATCTCGGTCCAATTTTTGAAATACATCTCTCAACAATAGCAAATTTTTCAAATTTCCACAACTCCTTCCGATGTCAATAAAAATAACAATAAGCTTTTTACAACAGTATGTAGAAGGGTTAAATGAAAAAGCAGAACAGCGATAAAACAAAACACAACAAAACAGTGACTAAACAGAACATCGGAAAAAATATTTAAGTTCAAGCAAAATAGAAATAAACAAATGACAAAGATTGAATATAACGTTCATTATAAATATATGTATTTAGTATGTATGTATCTGTATAACTTTAATATATTTTTTCGATGTTCTGTTTTGTCGTTTGTTCTTCTTTGGCCTGTTTGTCCGGTCACCATATACAAGATATCAAAATTGTAATGTTTAGGAACGACTTATTTAAGATACATTTGCCTCCTGTGACGTGTCAGTTTCAAAGCTATTATTTACTTGATAATACTTTGTATTAAATAGGATGTACTCATCTGACTATTGTAACCAAGTGTATAATTTCGCATTGCTTTTTATATACACGTATAGAACAATCTACTGCAAAACATATTAATAATTGAAATTGTTATAATTTATTAGTTGTCAATTTTTTAAATTTGTGAAAGTAGAGATAATTAATGATTATAAAAATCAGGACAATTTTATGTAGAAAAAAATAAAACGATTTCAATGTTATTTAAGTATCTTTTTAAATCTTTGTTTCTTGACTTTTTTTGGCATGAACTTCTTTAATTTGTTTGTTAACAAGGTTTTCTAATACTAAAAAACCATCATCTTCTGCATACAATAAATTTCAAACCTCCTCTTCATCGACTTTTTTGAAACCTATTGATTAGTATGTTATTTTACAACTTCTTCATATATTTGATAAACGTAAATATGTTTTTTTTTCTTTTCAAATGTTCAAACAATATAATTGTAGTGAATTTTATGCATATACATTTATATATAAGTATTTAGTTTATTAGATAAAATTTGGTTCATTTAGTATAGTTTAATGATTGTCTTTACTTTAATGAGTATTAATAGTTTAAATTGGTGAAGTTATTAATTATTCTCTTAAAATTATTATACTGATTATGTTTTAATATTTTAGTCAAAGATTGACCTCATTCAAATAATAAACAGTAGATGTGAGAAGCATAATTTATATATAAATGCTACTAAATCTAATAAACTTAAACAAATGACTGCATGTTTATATGACTAATCGATTACTAAGAGTACTTGTAAAAAAACTGACTTATTTATATGAATTACATTTGAATATGTCATTGATAATTATTATCATCACATTACCTAATCGAAAGTATTTGAGTAGTGACGTAAATATTGAAAGTGATTATACATATCTAATGATATATGTATACATTTTTTTTTGTAACCTTTATTTTATTCACAATCGGTGTCAATCAAAATCCCTTAATAAATATATTTGAATAATCTAAAATCGAAGAATTAAGTAGCGATGAATACTTTAATACTAATTGTTTTCATTATCTGAAATTAATTGTTACATAACATTTTTATATGTGAAACAAAAAAAAGATGAATAACAAGTAGAACAACCGTAAGCAATTGTTGTCATGGTAGCTCAATATGAATCACTGTAATGATTTTGCAATAACAAACATTTCAATTTGCATCGCATTTAACATGGAAAGAACAAAAAAAAGTTGATTTCCGAGAAAGCTAATATCCGCATATAAATATATTTAAATTTAAAATTTAAAAACTGAATTATTTTTTGTCGCATTTCTATGATTACGAAAGTGAAACATTCTGCTCTTATCTAAATCTCAAAAGTAAACGAGAATATGTTAAATGCTTTATTGTCGGACAAAATCCTTGAGCGTATATGTAAACACGGTATTAACTCTATATGCATCTCATGTGCGCATTGTTTCTACTTATACATATTAATTAATATACGGTTAGACCGCGCCATATTTTTTTTTTCGAATATTTCTCGCGCAATTATTAGTTAGATATCTTGTGAATGATACACAATTGTGTTTGATATGTATAAATTTATTTTGTTTTGTCTTTACAAATTTTAAAAATGATTCCAAGGCTGCAATTAAAATATTCCTTTCACGATTATAGCGACAACGTATGTATATTTAGGAAATGTTATAGGATGTTACCGGGGAAAACCCAAAATTTGAATGGTCTAGTTTTGTTATTATTATTATTAAGAGTTGATAATGATCAGTTAACTGAGATAGCGTTTACTTACTTTTCGTATTATCATTTTTAGATGAATCGGTGAACGGCACTTTTCCATTTGTTTGTCCGTTGCTATCTGTTTCTAAAACGAAACTGGGATTGTCTGATCCCTCGATGTTGAACTCTTTGTTTTCATTGGCGATAAATCCATTGGTCTTGGAGATATTTTCGGCATCGTACAAAAATTGTTTAATAGTCACAGGTCCTTGGTAGAAGGTCTTATTCCCAAAATGCACATCAGTCGAATTGCTGACAGCGATATTTCCGAAACTTGGAGGTGGACTGTCGCCGTTCCTCAGCTGCACCTCTTTGCCAAAAGACTCATCTTCGGAAGAGCTGTCAACAATCTCCACTTCGTATTTATCACATGGTTCTACGGCGGTGGAGCGTGTGGAAACGATGTGACTTACGTCCACAACCATGCCTAATCCGAAACATTAAACTAGGAAGTTGCCAGTATTCGAATTTTGTTTATGTTGCATTCGCGACCATGACAATTACAGAACTGGTTGAAATCATGCTACCGACTTCTCCCACCAGGCTGTGTACACTTGACGCACATATACTAATTATCAATGATAAACGAAACGACTTCTCCCCACTTAACAACTCTTCATGAAAATAAGTTTTATAAACATATCAAATACAAATCAAAATACATTCGATCTTGATAAATGTTGAAAATCAATGTTTTTTGTTATATTTGTTTCATTAGAGTGTACGTAATAAATGTAACAAATTTGGTGAAAGTCAATATTCAGCTATTTGTTTTGCTCTTGAAAGTTTAAGCGTTCTGTAAATAATTTGTCGAAACAGACTATATTAATTTTATCATATCGATTATAGATTCATGATATTCCAATCAATATTTACGTATGTTTTGTCTGTTTGTTTTGATAATGCAATCGTCAGACCATATTCTCAGAATATTGATCATTACGAACATAAATACATGTTGGTAATAACATATAATTTATTTTTGCTAGATAGTATTTAAATTCTGCATAAAGCTAACGGCAATATTAAATTTTTTTAATGTCATGTAATTTTATTTACAATCTGTTCATCAAGATTGGTTAACTTCAGTAGTATGTATATTGATGCTCTGCGATTCCACTATTTCTTTTGACTGTGAATCTGCTGCTATCCTTAACATTGTCATTGTCCATCCACTTGACTGAAGGTCCATATGCTGAACCCCATTCATTTAACTGTCCATCTGTGATGAACGATGGCCCTATTGGTACAAGAAGCACCGAGAGGTCTCACAAAAGGGCCTGGCTTTGACCAGGATTCAAACTGGCGACGTTCGATCGTGGGTAGGACGACTTAACCTCGGCTATTAGTCGCCCAAAAAAAAATATATATAAAGTCGTAAATTGATTAATAATTAAAATTTCAGCTAAACATTCTTAAGTTCATATAGACGAAAATGTTCATATGTTCATATTACTTTTGTAAATCCAGTTGGATGTATAAAATAATTTAATATTAGACCCAAAATGGTAATTGTATAATATTAAATTAAAAAAATGTGAGATATTGTAATATTAAGAAAACATGTTTATAGTTATTTTTCACCATAAATTACATATAATTCATGAAATTATATTTTGTATTATTATAAACATGTCATACTTCTTCTACATATTAAATTATTTGAATAATCTGCAAATAAAAATGTTTTTGAGTGAATTTTGGTTAATTATTATAACCAATAGATCAATTTTCAAAGGTATGGTAAAAACTGATTCCATCAACACGTATAATTTGTTATTTAGTATAAAAATATGTGAAATTTATTAATGAATATATCGTATATCTTCATGGCATGTATTATATCTTTTAAATAATAATTTATCAAATGTGGAGTTTGTATTTGCAGATACAATTATTATTGACTAAAATAATATGTCAATAAATACTATGTATGTTGTAACTATATAAATAAAAAAATGAAAATAATACTAAATAGTATTGGTTATTTAATTTCTAGTAACCCAACACAAATAAAATGAAACATCCGGCATACATAAGTGGAAAGGGCAGGAAACCAAAACTGGTGTTTTGTAATTATGATGTATAGGTAATCCCTGTACAAATCCAATTTATTTAAAAATACAACAATATTTGTTTGTTCTATTATATTATGCATTAAATGCAATGTTTTAACAGGTAAAAAATTAATTCAATAAATTATAAACATTTTTTATTAACAAAATATTATAAAAATATAATATTAACTAATATCATGAAAAGTATTAAAAACCTTATGTGTTTTTCGAATAGCAAATGGGTGACTATTCTGCCAGAATATCATTCTAATTGATGCAAATCTATTACACTTTGATAGCTGTGTAGGATGCTAATCATGATCATTACGTTAATCTTGTGCATTAAATTATTTAATTTGATTCGTTTATATCGTTCTTATATGTTTTAATGAATAAAGAAGAGATGAACAAACATAAAATTTGATTTTCTCCATCGGATGTGTTCTATAAATAATATAAATTTAATCATAACCTTATAATACTTACCCAGTATTACTCAAGTTAAAACTATTTGAATTTATCATTCATATAATACACTCAAATGAATATTATTAAATATCATTGTGTAATCTAATAATATTAAAACTTTTGAATTATTTCATAATAGTTTGAATATATTCATTACAAAGTTTAGACCGTTACTTACTTGGTGATGCGTTATGTGATTCAAATGAATTAATTGATTTTTCATTCGTATTTAATGATTAAGATTATCAACAAGATAGTCGTGTCTTGTATAATGTTATTATTATTACTCTTTTGATGAATTGCACTTCTAGCATCAATAATCTTATGCATATAATGATTACTAATATTTTTTTATCGACGAATTTCAAAACTACAGGGTGAGCCAACTTCGACTGACTGATGTAAAATACATATAACTTTTGTAATTGTATTTTATTTTTAGAATTTATTTTTTTAGGTAAAAGTATAGTTTATTAGAATTTTTTTGATATAAGTGTGGAAAATAATATCATTTAAATGATTTCTTGTTGACACGTAATGACTCTGGCTAATAATCTACAACAAAAATATATTTAATAAAATTAAAAACTTAAATGTTATAAACATTTTAAAACAGTCAGTCCAAGTTGGTCCATCCTGTATATATAAAAATTAATTTGTTTTCCTGGTAAATTTCTGTGTTCATGGAATCCGAAACATATCATTATTTTACCAATGAAAAATAAATGCAAATTACAAACTTCATATGAAGTGCAAAGTCTAAGTGACAAAATGGAAAAATATACCTCAATATTGCCGGTCTGTGATTAAGTTTATAACCAAATATTTAAATCATGGAAACCTAATGTTTGTAGTTTAAGATATTTTTTACAAAAATAATATTTACTTTTGGTTATTATTAAGATATTGATATTATTATTTTTTATTTAAATTATTAGAAATGATATTTTGCTATAATTTTAATTCTATCATTAATTTTATTATTATTTTCGTTTAAAGAAAAACATGCAAGAATGAATAAAAATACTAATAATTTGAAAATATTTCAATAAAAAGAGAATTCAATTGAGAAAACTCAAACTTTCCAAAATTCTTTTGAAAATCTATTTATATCAATTGTACATTGAACTATTTTATGTTAGGAATATAATTAAAATATGTATCAAGAATAAATGTGTAAATGCTTATTTTTAATTCTAAATTAAAACAAAAACGTTTTTACAAAATGTTCCGACGGCAATTATAATTAAAACATTAAGGTAGCGCATACAAAAATATTCGTTATGTAACATTTTCATGATAATTGATCAAAAAACAACATTACCAAGTCTAAAGTGGCTCCAGGTTTTGATGACTTTGTACACGTTACGACCTGGACTAATGGTCGGAGTGGTTTGGTTGTGCGAGACAATCCGATAATTTGGTGAGAGTTTGCCTTGTTTAACGCCCTCGGCCAGCAATTCCTTCGTTGCCGAAATCATGTCGTCCGTCAGTTCGTCATAGATGTAATTGCCTATAAAACTGATGGCAATGCACAGGTTCCTATGGAAATTGATGAAATCCCAGTCCCGACCGACGTAGATGTTACCGTCACCGCCGATGAGGAAATTGTAACCAATGTCCGGAGAATTGGATGTCACGTGACTGGCCTGCGAATCTTTCATGATTATTGAGCAGCTGGAGATGTCCCTGCAGAATCGTCCGGCCGTGTGTGAGATCAGTACGTATTCGGTTGGATGTATCAGTGGCCTGAGTGGTTTTACAGGAGGCCTTCCTCCCCAAACATTCTTTCTTATAACTCTATGCGAACCTAATTTGTCGGGTCCATTATCACTTGTTGAATTCACAACATCGACAGTATCTTCTTGCAGCTGCGTCTTTGGCACTGAATATATCACAATGACTACAATTAAAATCAGCGAAACGACCAAAGCCAATGTCAGAATTAGGGACTTCTTTTGTATTGGACTTTTTTGCACGTTCACTTGCGCTGAAACAGACAGAAACAGACAAAACAAAATCAATCTTAGATTTACGCAGATTATTTGAAGAAGCACTGCTAAAATCTCACCTCGCTTCTCAGAGATGTAGTTATATCCCCTGTGTCTGGAATTTCGCCTAATTAGCTTCATGTTTTTCTCACTCGTAAAAATAAAAAACACGCGAAACAAAACAAAAGTAAACGACAACAAAGACGGTGGAGAAAAATGAGCAATCAACTGACATCGAGAAACTAAACACTATGAGATTTCCAATTACTTGTCTGCAATACGTTAAAGTCTGGTGTATAAGAAAATGGATTCGCCCGATAATAAACAAAAATCTAAAAATGTACGGGCCACGTGGTTTTTTAGTGATTTGAGTCATCAATATTTCATTTTTATTAATAAACCAAGAAAAGAAAATAGCAAAACATCCGAAGTGTATACCTTCAGGAGGGGGATCAGTGTAAACATTGATTTGACTTCTAGGATACTCACTCTTCGTCTCGAACGGAATTTCTGGATATCTTGTATTCTGCATTATTGTGACTGGTCCATGGAACTGGGTCACCGGCCCGATCACTACGTCGCTGGAATCCGCGATGTTGATTGATGAGGGCATCTCGCATAATGTATTCGCTATACCACCTTCATCCTCGTCCTCCGAGAACTCCGCCAACGTACCATTTGGAAGATTTAATATTTGCGTCGACGACGGGGAGCTCCTCGAAAATGGTACTACTGCGAACGAAAGTCTGTTCGCTATGTCCGGATTATTTTTAACTAGAGATGCGTCAGACATATCTACAATTAAGAGAAACAAGAAAAACTTAGTCGGATATCGATTTTCCGTTTACATACATCTAGAAAAATTCAATAACATTTACACCAGTTTATTTTCCCATTCTTCAACATCTGTTTTCCGTTAGGTAACATAAACATATTGTTTCTACGCGTTGAAATAATCTCAAAACAAGAGCAACATTTGCATATTATTTGAAAATATAACAAAACAATAACACTTAAATAACAGTAGTTATTTCGTTATAGTAAATGAATTCACTTAAAATGTGTAGTTTATTTTCACAACAACATGAAGATATTCGATTCCAAAAGGACACAAAATATGCTGCAAATAACTCTTTAATATAAAAAATAATATTTACTACTTAAAATAACATTCAATATATGTGAAATATTATTTATGGAATTATAATAGTAAGGTTTTTCTATTCAAACGATTTTTAACGAATATACAATTGGAACATCATTAGGTTTCCTCAAATAAGGAGGCTTTTGTCTTCCGTAATCCCTATGTCCAAGTGACACAATTTTGCCAGCCTCAGCTTTTGTATTTTAAAATTGGCTAGGTTCTATAAGACAATTCGAGCCGCGGTTCCATCGACTCTAATAACAAGAAGAGTGGAGGAACCTCGGATACTAACATTTAGTTTTAATACTAGAATTTGCACCAAGAACAAAGAAGATATACTTTTTTTCCTGCTTGGTTGTATGTGAAGTTGAAGTGGTAAATACTAATATCACCATATTTAATGATGTTGCCGTTTTAATTTGGTTGCCGTATCACAACAATACAAATAATTTCTAATGAAATGATTACATCTCTCAAGCATTTAAGCATCAAATTTTAAGTTGCGGTAAAAAAATGAAAATAAACATAACTAACCCTAATTTAGTTAACAATAATAACCCAGAGCACTCATAGTTAAAGATAAAAGAAAGTAATAGATATATTAGTTTAATCTTATTTTTTTTGTTATTTGACTCGAAAGTAGAATAACATTTTGGTAAATGTAAAATAGTATAATTTTATGTTCAATATAAAAGCTTAAAAATATTTGATTTATTAATAAATTAATAATAATAAAAATTATTTATTGCGAGTATACTATAGAATGTATTTTTTTATTATTAAATTATTTGATGTTAATATTTACATTAAGGCCGAAAGACTTACTGTCTAATCTCCCGTTGTAACAGTTAATTATTTTTGTTTATTATAATATTATAAATATTTGTTTTCTTTGTTGAACAAAACAAGGTCATCTATATGATTTTTATATCTCAATTGGAATATTGAAAATTGCAAGTTTGGACGAATTTAAGCTACAGAGTAATTATAATAATAGTAAGAATTACTCTATTATTTTTTTCAAATCACATCTACATATTTAAAAATAACAGATACAACTTTGTGATTGTTCGCTTTCTTAAGTTGTATAAATTGGTCCCTTTTTTCTATATTTCCCATGACGTAATTACAAATTTTACAACAAAAAAGTGCCAAATAGAGTGCCATATTACCAAATTGTGTCTATGTTTAAAAAAAAAACCCTACCGCCACTTAACCTAGACCTAGCGCAACTTCACCTAACCTAACGTCTCTCCGGACCAAGAGCACTAGAGTAGCTAAGAAAGCCTAAAGTAGACATTTTAAAGTTTTAAAGATCACAGTAACACAGATCACAGTAAAACAGGTGTCAGAAATAGTCATCGCCGTTCCCAAAAGTAATCAAAATCTCAATCACTCAAATCTCTGAATTGCTTGTTTGACATAATCTGCAAAAAAAGGGTAGAGAATGTATTAATCCTACGACACTGGTTCCCAAACTGTGTACTGCAGGGTCGCCGCGAAAAGTATAAATTCTGATATATTAACTTAAAGTTTGCCCTAAGATAGACCAATGTTTTGACTTGGGGCACCGCGGAAAAAAATCTGATATGTTAAGGACGACGCAAACTGAAAAAGGCATCGTATTTTACATTAGTTTATATGGGGAAAATTGTTTCACTATACGAGTATTTCATTATACGAGCAAAAATCCGGAAATTCTTGAACGATTTATTAAGCGAGGTTCCACATTCTGAAATTTTCACGGACTATAGATAATCCGAAATAATCGAAGCCGTACTATGAAAAGTATTGTTTATAATAATTTATTTAATTTTTTTTTCTCGCAATTTTTAACCTGGTCCTTCCACCTTCCAATTATACAAACTTTTAATTACCACAAATTATTAAATACATAAATATTTATTAATAACATTAGCAAATAAAGACGATAGTTAGTGCTATTGGTTTTAGATACGCGAAGGTCATAAAACAAGGTATTGGTACAAAAAAGGCATGCGTCTTTTTACAAACAATTCATGGCCTATAGTCTATAACAACGAACACAGAACAAGTAAACATTAATGGAAATTTGTCTACATTAGTGAAAAATACAATAATTTTAAATTGTGTTTTCATTTGTAAACTTATAATCGAATAACGATGTATTAAATTAAATTTATCCATTATTGAATACTTTATATTATTGATAAATATAACTTTTATATAATTATTTACACTAATATTAAATTTGTATTCTATTGTATTTATAATGTTTTATAAATAATTAGTTTCAAACATTGTGTTCATAATACAATAATAACGTTAAAACCATACATATAGGTTGATCCGTTTGTAAAAATAATATCAACAATTTTTATGGTAAATCAATGTTATTTAAATCATTGCGTAAAGTCCTGTTTAGGAATAATACTGCATGAAATTTGGATAAATAAATAAAAATACCACCCCTGATTATTTAATAGGTGACACTAGTAAAGCAAGATAAAGCACTTCATTTTAATAGATCAGGTGACAGTGATCATATTTTAAGTAGATAAGTCGATGTCAATCACTTTTGAGAAGAACAAACCATTTAACCATTGAGGCAATGTTGCACCAACATCCCAAGCCAAGACATTTGCCTAGTGGTTATATATTATTAATGAAACTTTATTAGCTCACTTTATTCAAGTTTCTAGATATTTATATTATTTAATTTAATCATTCAACATTCAACAATATTTAATTCATACGACGTAGATTATATTTTCATGAACAGTGTACGACGTATACAATTAGGTTTGATGGTTTTTTAAAATCCTGTTATTTTATTTAAATTATCTAATTTGAAAACCATGATTTGTTTTTAGAACAAAACTTTGTTCAAATCTTAAAATGTATATTGTACTCTTCTCCCTTCGCCATCAGTTATATAACTGGTGTCTACGATCCATGGTTACTCCGATTGATGTTTAGGGCTACTATAATTATTTTCTTGATAAACTTATTTGACACAACACCGGAAAACCGGTTTCGTAGAATAGTTAAAATTTAAAAACCGGTTTTTGTACAATGCCTAATAGTATTTAAGAAAATAGTTATATAATCTCTATCATCGTAATTTATAATTTAAAATTGAATATTACCATATTAATGTCGGAGTATAGACACATACATCTATTTATAACATCTCTGGCAAATCCCATTTCTGATGTCGGAGATTCAAGTATCAAATCGAGCGTTGTGTTGTACACAATACCCTCAATAATATCCAACTAATATGAATAACATTAGTTTACAGTGAATATCAAGTACTCTCTTTTATATGAAACACTTAAGAATTGTTAAGATCGAATCGAAAACATGCATTGCTTTATATACTTTTCTAAATTTAATTATAATTTAAAATTTTCGACAATAAATTATACGTTTCTTTCTTTTGCTCAACTTATCTACACGACTCGAGCGATAAATTATTTACGCCAGATTTAGCAGCATTACTCATTTCTTTCATATATTTTGATGTTTTGCTTTAATCACACGGCCACATAAGCTATCTACATAGATATGAGTGTTCTCCTTTTCAATCTTTCCGTAGTAGTCAAAAAGCAGTCGTACTTTAACTGTTAATTCCTTTTTATTTTTTTATTAAATACTTACTGACTGTTAAGGTTATTGTTATTAGTATAAAAATAATAACTGATGAATAGAAACAAGTCACATTTTAAGCACACAATTTTCATGTGTTTTCAAAACCGCACACGTAATAACGTACACAATCAATTAAATTCATCGCACTGTAATTGTTTATACAAGTATTCTTTACTGCAGTTGTAGTTAGCGTAACAGAGTCATACTTCAATACTTAGTAATGCTCATTGTATGTGCGGATACTGACTGCAAGCGATATAAATTTCACAACAAAATATTTACTCAATACCAGATCTTAGTATAGTGGGGCAATTCAATGCTAATTATTATATTCTCTTATAACACAAATATCATTAATAGAAATGTCTATTTATCCGTATACATTTTTGATATTTATGTCATGTGTACTTTGAAGTGTTACGGTTTTATTTTATCAAATAAATATTTTAAACTATAATCGCCGGTCTACATAGGCAACTCTATTTGCGAAAACTATTGAAATCCTGTTTGCCTTCAATGGCTCGTAACGGGAAAACCTTGACTTGCAAACGGTTTTACCAGTGACTTATATTTCATCGTAATTGGTGTAAAAAAGCATGCATTTAGCTTTAATTTATAGCTAAGATTAACGTCTCTGTAATCGATAAAATAATTGAAATCAATTTCTAGTTCTGATTAGTTAAGTAATATTTATAAATATCTAATAATTTTATTATATTTGATCAATTTCTTATGTGCATTAATAATCCTTTAATTTGGAATGATTCATTTTGCTGTCTTGTTGTATTATTTCTTATAATTTCATTAATTAAAATACATAAAATATTGAGAAAAATTCATGTAAAATTTATATGTTGGAGGAGACTCGACGATTAAGTTCAATACAATCAATGACAGACATATAATGTTCAAGCGTTTTTGTTTAATAGGTATGATTTCTAAATATTTTTTTATCAAAGTGATATAATAAGCACAAATAAGTGTCAAAATAAGTACAATTCTAATGTTGTACGTTTTCTTTACAGATTTATATGATAATTGTAGTCGGCACAATAGAACCTCGGTCATTAAATATAATTGTGAAAGCCCAGGTTATAGCTTATTTAAACCTTTATATTAGCAATTTGTGCATCAAATAAATCAAATAAAAATGATAAACAGATAAAATATAGATGAATGAAATACACTTTACATGTTAGATGAGACTCGATGACGTAAGTGGAAGTTGGAGTGAAATGGCAGTCAGTTGTGCTCTCTCACTGTGCATTTGACGTATTTAATTGCTAGTTTGCATGATATAATTAAGGTACATTCGATAGCCGATGAATTTTTGTTATCGTTCGCACATGATGTTTTCCGTATATAATAAGAAAAAATATCAACGGATTTTTTTATTTACTGGAAAAAATAAATTCAAAATGTCATTGATTCTCTAAGTTAAATTTTAGATCAAAGAAATTGTAAAAATTGTAGCTATAGTATACATACAAAAATAAGCGCGCTTCTTGCATGCTTTTTGGATGTTGTTTACATCAGTGGTCCCCAATTCCCGGTCAAATGGTACAGGTCCGCCTAAGGAACATTAAATTATTTTCATTTTATTTTAACTCTCTAGAATCTAGCATGTAAAATGTTAAATCTCTTTATATTCATTTTTTGGTGTAACTGTATCAACGTCCCCTCCTCCTCGGCGGGCTGTAGTAAAATTATCAAACGTTGTGGAGCACTGGTTTAGATCAGAATATCACAATTTATTCCAGACATTTTGTTATTGAGAAAACAAAATAGCCAACAGAATAATTTTGATAAATGAGCATAAATCTAAGTAACATTTTCGTAATTGTCTTTGTTTTTGTTTGAGACTGAATACTTAATATTAATGCGCCTGGTGTGTACATATTATTGTGCTAAATTTGCTAGTAGATAGCCTTTTGGTCGATATAACTAATACATTTTGTAAATTTTAATACACAATTCATAAGCATATATGGGATTTCGTTTTTTACTAATTATTTATCAGGAAACACATTTTTTGTAAGTTCACCAGAAATACTGGTGATACAATAATTAAATAAATGTTTTTTGTTCATATGAGTTTTTAGTTTTTGACCGTCCTATAATTCCGGTCACCTCCCACGCGTAGTTATATCCGCCACTAAAATTGACGATACTTCCAAAATCTTCAACGCAGCATCAATTAGTTCAAGGCTTTCAATTAATTATACTCATCAGTATTTTGATTAACAATTTCTAATTAAATGATTCTTGCTTTAACATTCTTTAATTGAATCCATTCCTCTTAAAATCCTATTAACATGATGTATTAATTAAATTATTTACAAGATTTAATTTTATATATTACTAAATTACCTAATTTTATTATATACACATTAAAATGCAGTAAGACTGCGGTCAATATCTATTGTACGTTATTATATATATGCCCATTCATGTAATAAATTATGTTTATTATTGCACATTATTTCTATATGTTATAGATTTTAACCAATTGAACGATTTTGTTAATAATTCATTCTACTAAATTGTTGTTTTAATTATTACGATAAGTTGCGTCTAACATATATTAAATTTTGTGTTGTTATTATTAAAATATTTAAATTTTTGTAACTTGAAAAATGTTTTTATTAATTACAAATTATAATACAATTTTATTTTGACGGAATGCCTATTTCATCTTTAAATACCATTAATTGATATGAACTATAAAACATAGCAAAATTTGAAATATGTTAGTCAACAATGGAAGACGATACTATTCATCTACAACTATAAATCTGCTTTTATGCATTTTCCTGAGAAACAATTTTTCCACATATGTATTTTTAATTATTAGCAATTCTCTATGAGTATATTTAATAAAAAAAAACATATGTTTATGTTCATTAACATTCCTACATTTTTTTACAATACATTTATTATTTACAATCTGCCACATGCTGACAATGAGAAAATAGTTTGAAGATATTTGATTTTTTTTTCAAAGACATTATAGTTTGAATTATTATGTTAATGAATATATTGTTTTATGGGAAAATACTTATTTAATTTGTAAAAATAATTTAATGAATAATTAGTTCATTATTTATACAAATGTAAACATATAATATTCAACACATTTTTTAAAATTAACTTGAAAGATATTACTCGTCAATTGAAGATGTATACTATCTACATCTATAAATATAATGTCCAGAAACATTTTTTACTTATAGATATCGCAATATTCAATGAATGATACATTTCCGTGTGAAATTTGCTGTATAAAAAATATGATTATTTTCACTATTACAAGGAAAAATGGGGACCCATAATTTATAATAATTAATTAATTTATATTTAAATGTAATGAAACATAAAATAAACAAATTTATAAAAATATATTCATAATTTGGTGTGAAGAATCAAGTCTACATTGTAATCAAATTCATTTTTATTATTTCAAGAAATTGTAATGAAATATAGTTTATATTTTTTTTAATGATAGACATTAAATGTAAGATTATTCTATTCTGTTTTGTTTAAATTGTTTAGTGAAAAAAGTGTTTATGTGGTTGTCTATATTGCAGGTCTAGAATTGTTTCAAAAAATAATGACATATCCAAATTGGACAGAAAGACCTTTGGTCAGTTGCTTTTTGCAGTAAATCAATTTGATTTTAATTTTCTTATTATGTTATTTTGTTGATTTTATTGTTGGATAATATAATAGGCAACCAATGTATTGCCAAGCGGAAAAGCTTATTTTATAACATGTATTTTTGTATAATTAGAAATAAACCCGTCGAAACCCAAATATCCATCCCAAATTTAAATATCCCACATTATCCCTATTCCAGGTCTCTCGATTGATACACACTTGTTCCTACTCCGCTGCTTTTTCCCCTCATTCTTCTGTTTTTCATTTGTATATTATTATTGTAATATTGTTATTATTCCATAATTAAATTTATGTTCTCGGGCGGAAAGACCTCGGTCGTTAGCCCTTTGGCTAGCCTATTAATATATTTTTTTAAATTTTATTATTATCATTTATTTATTAATAGAATGTACTTTTTTTTTCTTTTGTATTGATGTCTGGCCAATAAATGATTATTATTATTAGAAACAAAGAAGTATAATGAACATGTTCAAGATGACAGAAAGATCTATGGTCTATAGCTTTTTGTAGCTTTAATTCTTTATTTGCATTATATTTACGACAGATTATTTTATAAACAGATAGGATCCCTAAATTCGAATTTACCTAAATCTTCGAAAGCACAATTTCCTTTTGGCACAAAAAAAATGATGATAAATTTTAAATTTTGCATATAAAATTTGACTAGGTCATGCAAATAAAATTTGCCTGTGTCCATTAACTTTGATAATAAATTCTAATGAACAAAATCTATTTTTTTAAAATGTTTATGAATACTGTTTGCAGCTTTAAAAATGTAAGCAAATTATGTAGACTTCTCTTACATTAATTATGATTATGAGTATAAAATGCACCTAATAGAAGTTTTCAACAATATTTTACATACATTCTATATTAATAATAATAATAATTTATTAGCCACATAACAATAAAAAAGCTATAAATTCTAAAAAATATAAATGATAAATGATTGACTCTGTCGATCGCAATTGACTTGTTGGATCCGGACAGGTTTTTTAGAACGGAATTTCAGTACTTGGAAAGTACCAAATATTGTATTTCCACTATGTCAATTTCCTAATATAAAATAAGATGTTTATGTAATATAAAGTCAGTCCTACCGAGTCTCTCCGAGTTCTTAGTACTAGTCCTAGTTAGACTCATAAAAACCCTGGTAATAAACCTAAGTTTCTTAATAATTGGAAACCAAGAAGTTGTTTATTGTCATAAAAACTCCAACTTCACCTCTAACATTCCTTAAAAACTCCACTAGGACTCCACAACGACATATCTACGAGACATTTCACAGTGTCCAGAGATATTTAAATTCCGAGACACGACAGTTATTTAGAATGGTGATGGAGGAAACAAGGATTCCTAGGTATTTAACAAGTGGCGATATTCTTTCTATAATAATTATAATTATAAGATTGGTCTATGAACTGGCATTCATTTCGCCCTATTAATTTGAGCTAAGAGTAATAAATTCAATTATAAGTTTACACACAAATAACAGTATAGTATTACATAATCTTCTATTTCCGACTGGGCACTCACGGACCTCACCGTGAAAAGGTTCTGGGCGATACTTCCTCATTCTCTCCGAAATAAAGACTCGGTTCTTCCTTACTTCATTTCTTCAGTGTTTTTACTTAACTTCAACACCTCTGGTGTCACTCACTTTATTTTAATTTCTCCCACAGACGATTTCATCCACGATTCAATCTCGACTCCCCTAGAGTCCCTCTATACCAGAGGTTCCCAAACTTGTTTGTGCCGTAGACCCCTTGCCATGTTTTTCGGTTTTTGGTAGACCCCCTGCTTACCTGATATTGTTTTTTTGTAAATTTATTATTTATATTGGGACATCTTTATAATTATTAAGATCTTTGCTCTGAGACTGCGCGTATGCTTGTAACAAGATGATACTGATATATCATTATGTGCAGGTTTTTACAAGTTCAAAATGTATTGCGACCACAAACCGAATGCCTACATCCTACAACTTACATTTATATTATAATATAGTATAATGTAAGTAAATAGGTACTATCAGTATATGTTGAGATCCACTATCGTGTACCCCCAAATTTTTATTTCGCTGACGTAGACCCCTTGCAGGTTGTCATAGACCCCTGGAGGTCGATATAGACCACTTTGGGAATCACTGCTCTATACAATAGGAGCGTAGTTATATGTTCTATCAATTCTACAATGTTTATTTATTTATTTATTATTTTTTCATTTATTTCTTTGATCAAATTTTGTCAGTTTTCCTATACAAATGTTGTGAAAATGTTATAAAGTTACATTCCTAAGGTTGATTTTTTTTTATACAGCATTAATTTTATATTTAAACATATTGAAATTATCGTTTTATGGTCTTATCACAAATACATAAAAGTTACATTCACAATGTGAACGTATGATTGCATATGCATTATATCTGGATTGAAAATATGCGATGAAATTAATTTTTGATAGCGCATATTTTTGTTGGCAAATACAATACATTATTTATATAGATAATAACACTGATAATTTAATCAGTTTTATCGGGAACAAGTATGCACACTGAAATCAAAATTAATTTAAATATTGCTGTGAATTACCATTTCTAAAATATAATTAAGAAGAGATGTTTATTTTAATTTTTGTCAAGAACAATACTTTAATATATATTATGAATTAAGAAAGTCTATAAAAATACTTAATACAATGAAAGATAATCCAATCTTATTTGGGAATGTGTTTATTTATATGTTCTAATCAATCCTCTTCACATAATTCTTACTAATCCGAATTATTTATAGTCAAATAATAGCACATTTTTATAAAACCAATACACACGTAAATCTAGGTTATCTACAAACACTTGATTTACTTTTCATAGAAAATAAAAAAACAAAAAACATAGTTTGTTTATATAATTTTTATTAGTAGAGAACGAAATAATGTAAATACTATTTAATTTTGTAATAAATTATTTTCAATAAATTTATGTTAAATTTTCAATTACAATTATATAAATACTATAAATAAATGGTATTATAATAATGAATGTATAATATAAGTAATGACTGGTGTATTGTTAACTTTAAAAGATGTTATAAAATTACATCATATCTAGTGTTAAATATACTTTTATCTGTGTCGCTTATCTGAGGATTCAGAAATAACATGTTCGATGCTAAAGGTAAATATATATGCAATGTTTCAAACACAATCAATGAACTAAAAATAGATAATGGTTTATATATTTATTAGTTACAAACCAAAAATACGATAATTAATCAATTTTTTATCTATATAATAAAAATCAATCCTTAGATTTCGGATGGGTATAAATATCAGTTTCGATTTGAATTAGGACAGATTTTAGATCGCAATGTTTAAACTCGCAGTGTTTGTTACCCTTGTGGCGGGATGCTTCGGTACGGATATTATTATTGAGAAATTAAGTGCGAATAATTAATATTAAAATTTAATTTCCTTGTTGCAGCATTCCCAGATCCAAGGATTGTCAATGGTACTGATGCCAAGGAAGGAGAAATTCCATACATTGTAAGTTTTAATTAAATTAATTAATTTTGTAGGTTTATATTTAAAATATTGTTATTTTTTAAGATCTCTTTGAGATATGGTAGCTCTCACTCTTGCGGTGGTTCAATCCTGGATGCCACCCACGTCTTGACCGCCTCTCACTGCGTCGAAGGAAGGTACGTTATTTTCACGTTGTATTATTAGAAAATATATATTATATAAGTATGATTTTTGTATGAAGGACTGGAAACCCAGGTGCCTTTAAGATACAATACGGTGTCTTGAAAATCAACAGCAACGAGAACGTCATTGGTGTGAAATCCATCGCCATGCACCCAGAATACAACCCATACAACAACTATGCCAATGACGTTGCTGTCCTTACTGTATGTTAAACTTATATTTTAATGGTAATACTTGAAATTGAAGACGATTTTGTATATTTAGTTGGATGGTGAAATCGAGTTTGGAGACAATGTGAGGCCAACCATCCTCCCAGAACCATTCAGCGCCACCCCCGGAGACAAGACCGCCGTTTTGGCTGGTTGGGGATACCCATACGTAAGGAATTTTCAAAGTTTAATAATTTCAATATTTAAATTATATACATTTTTTTATATGAATAGACCGGTGGCAATGTTATGCAAAACTTGCAACGCGTTGACATCATCTGCTACACCGATGAGAACTGCGAAGTTGCCCACAAGGGAAGTACCGATAGGCAAGTTCATGTTTGTGCTGGAATTCCAGAAGGAGGCAAGGGACAATGCAGCGTAAGTACTTATGATTTGGTTACTGTGTATTCTATTTATAATTTTTATTATGACTTAGGGTGATTCTGGTGGCCCATTGACCGTTGATGGTGTCCAAGTTGGAGTCGTCTCCTGGTCTGTCAAACCATGCACTGTTAAGGGATACCCAGGTGTCTTCGCCCGTGTCGCTAACTACGTCGACTGGATCAAGGAACAACTTTAAATGTTTTAGGATTATAGATATTAAATAAAAATATAAAATTCAATTGTTGTTTTTCTATCTAGCTAGCTAAACAGTAAATTTACATTCTACCTCTTTTTGTAGAGGAGAGGAAACCTTACATAGTTACCACGGGTACTGTTACCATAGTGGTACTGTGGGATTCTTACCACACCAAAACCTCTCCCCTTCTTCGTCAGCATACAGGACCTGTATCACTATACTACTCTGCGATGCTGATTGTCTTTGCCTGTTTGGCACTTCCCTTAGATCATGTTAATGCTGGCCTTCACTGCCACTATCATCGTAGGCCCTTTGCAGCCTCCGCTCGTCTTCTTCTTTGCTTAGTAGCACTTCTGATATGTACGCCGCTACACTATCCCAGCTCTCCGCTCTCTTCAGCATTTCACTGATAACATTTTCTGGCTCTAACAGAACTCCCAATCCTGCCTCCGCCTCGTTCTACCTTCCAACTCAACTGCAGCACTTAAAAAGCGTGTGCTCAAGGCTAAACCAACATAATACCGGTATTTGTTATACAAATTTTGGTAATCATATTGGCCATTAACACTTTGTAACGTATAATATCTTTAATCTGTTTTAAATATTTGAACTAGTTTCTTGATATATTATGTCAAATAAATATTGAATACTTCACAATTATTCAGTATACACAATACTAAGGAACAATACAAACTATTATTATATAATATTGCCGATAAACTTCAGTATAGAACGTATATACTTAAATAGAATTTATGTCAATAAAATAAAGAGCAACATATACAATTGTGTGATAAAATAAAAGTTAATAAAGTATATAGTGGGCTATAGTCAGTTAATGAACAACCGATCATCTATTTAAATTTAACTGTACATTCTCTGATTTGTTCACAGTGAACACTCTTCGTTAACCGATCACCAACTAAGAGTACAATTGCACAAATAAAACATTATTTCATCCCTATTATCTTTCATGCCTTTTCCTAATACAGTTAAACCTCGCTTAACGAGTTTAATCCGTTCCAAAATTTTCGGATTTTTACTCGTATAGTGAAACATATTAAAAAATACATATAATATGTGTACACAAGTTTGAGAAATGATGTAACAGACTCTCAATCCGGGACTTCTCTTTTCATCATCATTCGTTATGCAAAACGTCGCTCGTTAAGCGAGTTATTTTCTTACAATTCATTTTTCTCGTTAAGCAAAATGCTCGTTATACGAGGTACTTGTTAAGCGAGGTTCAACTGTATATGGAAAAGGCATGAAAGATAATAGAGATGAAATAATGTTTTCTTTATGCAAAGATTTTTCAATATTTACTTTATTAATGATGAAATATTAGTTTTTTATTTAGTTCCGAGAGAGCAGAGGAAGTAAATACTGCATTTTTTTCTGATCGTGGACATACATCAAACACATCATTAAATATAATTTCAAATTCAAATGTACGGAAAAATTACTAGGAAGTAAACGAAACAAAACTACGAAAATGCGGCAAATGTACATTAAGAACTTAATAGTGGTAGTAATACATATAATTATACCGTAGATATTTCAATGTATCCTTTAATTTATTCATTAATTCAGTAGCTTTCATACCATAAAACTATTGCAAAAGTCTGTCTGCTGTCAAATAAGTAATATTTCTAATCTTCTATTTCAACAGTTGAAAACTAAATAAAACATGTTGAAAATTATAATAATCAACACGATATATTCTTAAAAAAAAATCTACGAATATTTAAAAACTACGTAGATTGAAAGTAACAATCTAACACATTGAAATTTTTATAGCATAATCATTGATATAAAAACAAGCATGCATGAAAATAGAACACAATGAGAAATAATATTTAAAATTTTAATCAGTTTGCAATACAAATTCATAAGAATTTCAAAAGATATCGATCAATTAAAAATTTACGTTATCGATCAAATACATTGATTCCGCGCGACTATAAATACGAGAGTATGGAAGCAGTAGTAAGTTAAACAAAATGTTCAGATTTGCTGTATTTGTTGCTCTCTTGGCCGGATGCTATGGTTAGATTTGTTCTACTATCACTTTTCATTAACTAATAGTAATTTATTACAGCATCACCAAGGATTGTGAACGGAACTGATGCCAAGGAAGGAGAAATCCCATACATCGTATGTACAATACAATTATTAACCATAAATGGAACATTTAGAAAATTGTTTTGGCCCCAATTTGGACCAAATATGTTCAAATTGATTATTAATATTATTGTTATTATATTGTATCTCTATTATGTTCTTTCTATATTAAGATTTCTTTGAGACATGGTAGTTCTCACTCTTGTGGTGGATCTATTTTGGATGCCACTCACGTTCTGACCGCTTCCCATTGCGTGGATGGAAGGTAATTGAAGTTTAGATATAACAAACAAAATTTGTAGAAATTGAATAAGCTAAGTATTAAGTTTTTCATATTTGTTGTAGCACCAACAACCCATCTGCTTTCAAGGTCCAATACGGTGTTTTGAAAATCGGTGGAAATCAAAATGTTGTAGGTGTAAAATCTATCGTTATGCATCCAGAATACAGTCCATTCAACAACTACGCCAATGACGTTGCTGTCATTACTGTAAGTTAATATAACTTTGTAATAATGCAAATTTATACTATAGACGATTTATATATTTAGTTGGATGGTGAAATCAAGTTTGGAGATAATGTGAGGCCAACCATCCTCCCACAGCCATTCAGCGCCACCCCCGGAGACAAGACCGCTGTTTTGGCAGGTTGGGGATACCCATACGTAAGTATTATGTGATAAATGTATAATCAGGACTGATAATATGTATCTTGGCAGAGCGGAGGTAATGTCATGCAAAACTTGCAACGCGTTGACATCATCTGTTATACCGATGCGAACTGCGAATCTGCTCACCACGGAAGCACCGACAGGGAAGTTCATGTTTGCGCTGGAATTCCAGAAGGAGGCAAAGGACAATGCAGCGTATGTATCTTTATACCAAATCATTTGTATGTTGCTTTACATTATTTTGTTTTTTAGGGTGACTCTGGTGGTCCATTGACCGTTGATGGTGTCCAAGTTGGAGTCGTCTCATGGTCTGTCAAACCATGCACTGTTAAGGGATACCCAGGTGTCTTTGCTCGTGTTGCCAACTACGTCGACTGGATCAAGAAACAACTGTAAAAATATATAAGAAAGATGTGACGAACAACGTTATATATTCATTTCTTTTCTTTCAAAAAAAGTATAGAAATGCAAATGTACATACTACTAATAACGAAAATAAAGTAATTTTAGTTAAAAATTAGTTGAAAAGTTTTACTTTTGTTAAAAATAAATTCCTTACTACAACGTAGTTTGCAACTACATCTAAATCCCTGGGGCATATTTTCGTGGTGCATACATAGTTTCATGGACGCTACACCGACATTAAGAAGGTCTCCAAGTTTGCTCTAATTACGGACAAAAACGTTATCTTGTTCCTAATTAATATGCAAAACTACTTATGCTGCATGCTTTTGGTAACTTTCCATATTCTCTAACGCACTTTTTCTAATTCACTGGTTTAATTAAATTAATACATCTTATATAACTATAATTTTATTTAATTTTTAACAATGTTAAAAAATTAAAATATTTGTTGTGTGTTAATATCAGACTTTTACCGTTAATACAGAAATCAATATTAGTTTACAATAGTTATATATAATATGTATGTTTACCATCAATGTCAGCATCCATTTGTACATGCTGATCTTTGTACAATAAATGAACAAAAAAACATAATTGAGATTTATAAATTAATAAAATTAAAAAAAAATTGAAGTAAAAATAAATGTATGTATTCGATTTATATATTTAAAATTATAAGAAATTATAACGATTTTTGTCCGATTATATAAAATTTTCATAATTAATGGATAGATCTTTAAATTAATTATAATGATACACTAAACAACTTATGATTTTATTGAAATATCTCCAGAAATAAATATTTATTAAACAAAATAATAATTTCTATTTTGACTTTTTTTTAAATACAAATACTTTTATTAGAATAGTTTTGCTCAAATAATTCAAGAAGAAAAACTATAAAAACAGTTTTATTGACAAATGATATAATGCTGTATCTATAGTAATTGATAGGTTAGAATGGTTAGAACTAGTTATATGCAATATGTTTCATTAATTAAGTTACTGTTCTTGGAGACAAAAACTCAACAATACTATCCATATATTGATTTATGTGTGATTTAAGTTGTGTATATTTTTTGGTCATATTTTAATTTGTTATAATTATGTATAACAAGGTACATTCAAGGTACATCAAGACTAGTGTTGTTGAACCATGAATGCGCGAACACATTTTTCGTGAATTTTAGATAAAAATATCGATACCTGGAAATTATCGTTCCAGACTCGTGACATTTCAAAATTTAAAGTGTAGCAGGTTGCGATAAAGTATTATGTCTTTATTGAAATATCTACACATTCCACTGTATACGAAATAATCACTGTTTTCCATATCGCATTGCCATCGACCGGTGATTTCTATCGACCAATCCTGTCTTATAAGCAGATAGTCAAACCGAAATAAATTTCGTTCCAGTTTACGGTTATATTCCAAGTAAATGTTTATCGTTCCAGATTCGGTTTGGGTTCAGTTCCGGTTGAAATTAGAATTTAAAATCGAAAGAAAAGCAATTATAAAATTGAAAATACAAAAAAATAAAAATTAATTAGTGACTAGCACTTTGTAATTTGCTTTTAGTCATGTTTACAGTAATATAATTTTTAATGACTTTCATTTGAGTTTGTTCTAATGATTGCCCTTTTTTCTTCAAATTTTCACTTTTTAAACGATGGTTTTAAGGATTTATATTGATTTTTGTTAATTATGTATTTGTTTAGATGAAAAATAGTTCAAACAGACTTCATCGATGTCTCTTATACATTGTTTGTCTTTATACTCTATTAACAATACTCTAATAACATTTCGAACGTATATATAAATAAACCAAAACATTAGCGATTATGAATTAATTTAATGAATAAAAAATTGAACCGAAATTAACCGTATTAAAATATCGTTCCGGTTCGACTCTCTGCTTATAGGAATATATTACAAATTTTTGTGAATTTCGGGCAATTTTCAATTGATTCAGTGATTTCACTGATAAAGTGAGATGAATTTTGAGTCCTGTGTCTTATGCGATACATACTTATTATTGTAATTAATATTCACAATTAGAACAATTAAAAAAATGTAATATTTGAGTTACTTTTATTTATTATGTGTATATGATTTCCAATAGAGAATCGAAGAAATATTATATAAATTGCAAATGAAAGCTTCAATTTTGTTATATTATTTTGAAGAAAACAATTTAATAAAATATTTTTTTTAATTAATCAACAAATGATTATAAATGATAATATAGAATATAATTAATAAAGTTGTATAAAACATAAGAATGATCAATGATTCATTTGCTGTTTGATCCAATCAACGTAATTAGCGACGCGAGCAAAAACTCCTGGGTAACCTTTGATGGCACAAGGCTTAACAGACCATGAAACGACTCCAATTTGAACTCCATCAACGGTCAATGGACCTCCAGAATCTCCCTAAAAAATAAAGTTAAAATTATAAATGTTGAAAAAGCTATATCTGTACACCATAGCACCAACAAAGGATTCAAGTACTCACACTGCATTGTCCTTTTCCGCCTTCAGGAACGCCGGCGCAGATATGGTATTGTCTATTTGTATTTCCATGGTGGGCAGCTTCGCAATCATCGTCCGAATAGCATATAATGTCAACACGCATCAAAGATTCCGTATAAACACTATGACTCTGCATATAATTCAATATTTTAAATTATACTAACTATCACTGTTATGTTTTATATTAATTATAAAAAAAAAACTGGAACCAAATAACTTTGAACTTATTGTTCAAATAACTAAAAACCTATATAAAATGGACTAGTTTTGAAATTCGAACAAAAATTTGAAAGACTATATTTGCTCACATGAATTGTCAAAGTAGTTAACATATATCAACAATATGATGCAATATTTCAGAAAAAAAAAATAGGCAGGTTTCTCAATAATGTAAAAGCAAGTGAATTTTAGTAGAAAGGTGGATAATTAATAGTCCAGTAATACAATATTATTGGATACCATATGAACTATCTTGATTAAATTTTGGAGGTTTGACACTGATTCATTCAATTTATATTATTTCTTATAGGGAATTTTACTTTCTTATAGAATATCGTAAATATTTTTAATATAACTTACCGAGGTAAGTCCCCAACCGGCCAACACTGCGTTTTGATTTCCTGGAGTGCTGCTGGACTGCTCAGGAAGGGTAACAGGTTGAGCGTTTTCATCGAAAGGAATTTCGGAATTCAACTAGAAACCACAAATATTAGTAAATTCTATTTAAAATTTCTTGTTATATAAAACTTACAGTCAGCACAGCAACATCGTTGATATGATTCTTGGATGGATCGTAACCAGGGTGCATGTATATTTCTTTAACTCTAATAATATGCTGTGAAGCACTGATCAATCTTAAATCACCATATTCAATGGTGAAGACACTCGGAGGACTAATTCACAAGTTTAACATGAAATGAACTATTTTATGTCTATTTTAATATTATATTTACCGTGATTCAATACAATGAGCTGCAGTCAAAATATGTGTTGAATCCAAAATAGAGCCGCCACACGAATGTGTTCCGTAGAAACTAAGAGAAACCTGTTTGAAAATTTAAAAAAATTACACATACATCTAACTTGCAATGCAAACATTGTAATTAAATTGAAATTTAGTTTAATGATATTGAAAGTTTGATGGAAGAAAACACAAGAAATTGATTATATTGTAAAACCGACACCATTTAATGTTTCTTCACAAATTGAGTTAAAGTTTAATAGTAATGAGTTAATAGTAATTAGGTTTTTAAAATTGACGTTCACAATATTCATAAGTAAAATACTATGTCTGAAGAAGCTGACTGAATAATCGCGATAGAAGATGGAGAGTTTTTTTTAGCAATAAAACTGTTAAATTAATAAATACGAGATCTATATATAAGAGGAGAGATTATTGTGATGTATTTTACTGCTAAGAATTTAATTTTACTATGATATAAAATTAAACAACTGCAACTTCAATTAAAAAACGTGATCTCTTGATACGATAAATTATTGTGACACAGTTTAGTATTAGAAACATAATTTATCAAACCACATTCATATATTAATCTGACAATATGTATCTATGCTTCAATTTTATTATTTTATGTGCAATCTATTTGACAAAATAAATATATTTTAAAAACAATTTCTTTTAAATATATAAACCTTTTAAATATATAAATGAAATAGGACCTTATTTTTGCAAAATTGTGATAAAAATGCCAAATGAATGGACTATACTATTTTATTAAATAATAGAAGAAGTAGTAAATTAAATAGATTTAAAAGTAATATAAATATCTACTTACAATATATGGAATTTCTCCAGGTTGAGCAAAAGTTCCATTTACAATTCTTGGTATTGCAGGAGATGCTAAAAATCAGAAAATATACAATTAAACAAATTTAATTAGTGGTTATTATAAAGTAGACTAATCGTGAAACTAAATATATACAAAAAAATAATTCGCACACAATATGTCGTGACCTTATATGTTTACAACTGAGAAAGTTGTTACATAATAATANNNAAAAAGTACAATTTATACATAAATAAATTTTAACATATAATGAAAATATATATCAATAGGCTGGCTATCGACCGAGGTAATTGTTACATAAAATGTATGTACAAAAATAATTCAGGCTAATAAAGATTTTGTTAATAATAATATTATTCATTACAACAACCATAACACAAACTTAACAAAATAACATCAGAAAAATAAAACTAAATTGAATTGTTGCAAAGGGCTATTGACCATAGGTCTTTCTGTACTATTTTTTAATATTAATTACAGTTAATAATTATTAAATATTTATTATTATTAAAATAATTTTACCTGTGCATCCAGCAAGTAAAACGCAGAACGCAATTATTCGAAACATTTTTTTTACTAATATATAGTCGTGATTTTGTTACTTATTTATATAGGAAAACATTCACTATTTTTTATCGGTAATCAAGATAAGCGCATATTTAACTATCTAAGAAATACTAATTTAATAGTTTCAAAACTATAACAAGTTGCTTTTAGCTAAATTGGAAATTGTTTATCTATCTATGATCAACCTGTTTTTTTCATTGACAAAATATTGAAAAAATGTAAATATTTTTTTTATTATGTCATATAGTAAATATGTTCACAGGAATAGATACAATTTATTCCTGCGATTTCACTATTTCCTTTATCTGTGTATCTGCTGCTATCCTTATGACTTTCATTGTACATAGTCTTGGCTGGAAGTCTATATGCTGAATCTCATTCATTTGTGTGTCCATTCATGGAACATTGGCCGTATTGCTTTAAGCACGGAGCGAGGTCACAAAGATGCAGGCATGCCCGGGATTCGAACTGGCGCTCACGGCTCGTTAGTAGGGAAACTTAACCATACAGTAATTAATCGCCCCCAAAATGTAAATGTAGATCTGAAAGATATTTTAGCCATACATATTTTACGCATATTTTTATAAATTATAAATAATAATAGATTCATCACATTATTAAACATTTTTATTGTCCATAATTATGACCAAACGGCTATCGACCCATATTATTATTATTTTTTTTTAACTTTTATTATTCATTCACAACCTGCCAACATCCCTGACTATAAATTGAATGTTTTTGGCCAAGACAGAAAAAAAAGAAAATAAAAACAGAAAAAACAAAATAAAAGCATGGAGCGGAACGATTTCCCATCGGAAATCTTCCTATAAACAATTTAAATTTAACTAAAAAGAAATAATTCGATGACAATAACAACCCAAATAAAAATTGATTTTGACG